GCCAGGAGGGATGGGGATGTGGGGGGGGGGGGGGGAGTTACCTGCTGCTTGAAGCAACTCAGTTCCCCCTGAGCTCGTGTCTAGGGCAGAGCACCAGAATAACGGTGAGAGGAACGTGACGCAGCGGATGGCGCACTAGTAAGACGAAAGTGCAGCCAATTTCTCCTGAGTTTGACATAATGAGCAGAACATGTTTTCATCTCTCGTTGTTGTGTGCATGCCCCACTCTCGGTACATGCACACATGAGTCGATTCGGCTCGTGGAGCTGCTGGTGCTCCGCTTGGCGTGAAACAGACGATTCAGCCCCCATTGAATGAAGGTGGAGCAGGGCACTTGGTGTTTTTCCCCCATCGAACCTTTATTTGATCTTCCTCGTAGTTTTTTTTTTAACCTACTTGAAACCTTCCTTCTGCTGCTACGGCAGAGCACTATTGTCGCTGTGAGAGACGGGAAGAAACGAGCTTCGTGCTGCTAGGGCATACCAGTGTAACGGTGAGCGAAGAATGAGGCAGCAAGCAAGTCAAAATTATTGCTCCTGAGCTGATTTCAAAGCGAAACGGATTTCCAACTCTCGTTGTTTTTTGCACGCCTCACTCGCTGTACATACACACATGGCCTCTTCCCTCATGCTCCCACTCTCTCACATACTGGATTTTGCTCGACTCCTGTTCCTGCTCAGTTGGGTTTCACATCAGTACTTTGTCTCCTTTCACGACTCTTTCTTGCATGCATGCATCGTTTTCAGGTGGTTTCGATGGGGATTGACATGATGAATCCAGCCTTGTCAAACCTTTAAACCTTCTCTAAGCCTCCTTAAAACTGCCTTACATCCTCCTTGAAACCCCTTACAACCTCCCGCACAGCTTTCTCTTCAACCTCCTTGCCTTCCCCCCTCTCTCCCTTCTGATCGTGCTCATCCCATCCTTTCACATGATGGCACCTAGCATCATCTGACTGAGTATAGTGAAGCATACTCCCTGCAACTCCCTTCCCCCCCCCACGTATGCAGCATACGTGGCCAGAGAGGTGATGTGATTGGCCACGTATGCTGCATCCTCCTTGTGATTGGCCACTGCATGATTGCAGCATACGTGGCCAATCACATCACCTCTCTGCAACTCCCCTCCCCCCCCCCGTCCCCTCCCTCCTTCCCCCTAAATGCAGATGGTGGTGATCTCCTGTGTGCCGCTCGCAGTCACCAAGCACCGCATGAATGGATGGGCGCAAGGCGTATGTGACCAACCACACCTGCCAACAGAGCATGGAGCTCGGCAGGGGAGACAAGCTGTGAGATGTTCCCACACAGGAGCTAGGCAGTGGGTGTGGATTGGCAATGGATGAGGTTGGGCAATGGCGAACTCTATGGGGTTGGATTGGCATGTGGGAGCCTGGGCCATGAGCACGGGCTTGGGCATGGCCATGGGTATGGCATGGGCATGGGTATGGCCATGGGTATGGCATGGGCATGGGTATGGCCATGGGTATGGCATAGGAATGGGCATGGGCATGGTCATGGGCATGGGCATGGGCATGGGCATGGTCATGGGCATGGGCATGGGTATGGGCATGAGAATGGGCATGGGCATGAGAATGGGCATGGGCGTGAGAATGGGCATGGGCGTGAGAATGGGTATGGGCATGAGAATGGGCATGGGCGTGAGAATGGGCATGGGCATGGGCATGGGCATGGGCACCGGCATCGGCATCGGCATGGGCATGGGCATGGGCATGGGCATGGGCATGGGCATGGGCACGGGCACGGGCATGGGCATGGGCATGGGCATGGGCTTGGGCATGGGCATGGGCTTGGGCATGGGCATGGGCATGGGCGTGAATGTACTCAATCCGTATGTGGCCGATCGGAAATCACACCATGCCCACCATCACAGCAGTGGTGTTCGCAGGTGAGATAAGTTGTGAGTTGTTCGTGGACAGGAGCCAGGCAGTCTGGTGTGGGCAATGCGTGAAAATTGACATTGGGTGTGTTTGGGCATTGGGGTTAGATTGGCATGCGAGAGGCTGGGACATGGGCATGAGCATGGCACTGGTACGAGCATGGGCATGGGCATGGACATGAGCATGGGCATGGGCATGGGCATGGCATGGGCATGGGCATGGTATGGCATGGGCATGGTATGGGCATGGGCATGACCATAGGCATGGGCATGGGCATGGGCATGGGCATGGGTGCATACACATAGCCATTGGTATGCGAGTGAGTTAGCAGATTCACAGGCAATCATTCAGCTACTTCTATGCTCTATGTTGGGTGTTTGTACATGTCACTCCACCATCGCTCGTCACCCTCACAGTTCCCCTCCTTCCACACTCCTCTCAACGTGCATCCATTTCACCACTGTAGGATGTCAGGCAGCGCATGAGCTCTCAGCAGGCTATTAATCAAATAAGGAACAAACCTCCAGCATCGCTCATGCGGCTGCCGTCTATGAGCTGATAGTATCAGCTTGATATCTTGCTCGTTCCATACATGCCAAAGTTTCCTCACCAGCTTCAGCTAGGAGCATTGTGCGTGCATTTGTATTGTAACACCTCCTCCTCTCCCCACCTATCCCCACAACCCCCTTTATCCTGTGCGTGCACTGATTTCTTGGTGCCTCCTCGCCTTCCTCTCATCAACGTCCCTTTAACATGGTTGACAGCTTCAGAGAGGAGCATATTCGTCACCTGCCTTATTTTCCTCTCATCAATTTTGAGATACTAACCAATCTGCAGGTGATGCAGGACCTTCTTCTGTCAACGTAAAGTCAGGCATTTATTCCAACACGGGCAGTCAAAAAAAGAAGGCGGTAAGTGGGTGTACGTGAAGGAAGAGTCGATTGTGAGATGGCCAATCGATGTGAAACAAATGGTAAATGCATGCACCATTGAGCACCGAGCTATACACTCTCCTGTACCGCTGAATGTTTTACTGCTGCTTGAAATTTACTCATTGACAATCCTAACACAGCGATCTAATGAAGCGTATGTTTGTACGGTAACATGTTTGTCTAGAGCCATGTGGGGTGAAACTAAAACGTATGCACTCTCTGGAGTAAGATGATGGTAATTGTTACAAGCTATTCAACAAGTACGGTAACATTGCCCAACAGAGTCTCAATTGTTGATGCATTCTCAAGATCTGCATGTCATGATAACGTAATAGTATAGTACGGCTAGTACAAAAAATACCGCGACCAGCAACGAATCAGCCAATAAACTAACATTTGTTTCGCTGACTGGACGCGTTGAATCACGTCGCCGGTTTTCAACTTTGTCGGTACCTTCGTGTGTTCGAGCCTCGACCAGTCTCTGGTTTTCCCCGAACCTCTTCAGCTAACCCAATCAAACCACGACTTGGGGGCTCCCAAACGAAAATCCAAACCTGCAACCAGCTTTCAGAGCTTTGACTCGCGCCTCTTGGCTTCCCCTCGACTATAACTAGCCATTCCCTCTCCCCTCATATCACTCACTCACCAACAGCTTCCACTGCATTCTCAACTTTCTTTCACCCAAGCTCTAGCTTCCAAAACACCCCGTCAATCGCAGCTAGTTCAGCGGGAAGCGAACTTTCCCCACTTCGTCAATCGCAGTACAATACCAGCAATGGCAGTCAGAGCGCTCGTCCTCGCGTGCGTGCTCCTCCTCGTGTCGACGTCCGCCTTGGCGCAGCGTGGTCCGCCTGGCGGAGGTGCTCCCGGCGGTCAGCGCGGAGGCCCTGGCGCCGCTCCCGGCGGACCCGGCGGTCCCGGTGGTCCCGGCGGTCGCGACGGTCCCGGCGGGCCTGGCGGACCGCGCGGTCCTCCGCTGAACCTGACCGCCGTCGGGAATCTGACGGCCGAAATCGGCGCGCGACTCGCCAATTGCACCGTGGATCAGAAGACCCTTAACGGCAGCTTCCACCTTGCCGTCTTCAAGAATTCCACCGGCAATTACAATCTGCTCGTCGAGGCGGTGCTGGTGGACGCGGCGGGCGGTCCGCCCGACTCGCTGGCGATCGTGAAGGGCGCCGTGTGCGACGCCGCCGCGACGGACGTGCTCGCGCTGCCGCTCGCCGCGGCGGACTGGCAGCAGCGCGCGGGGTGGTGGCTGCTGCACGCGGAGGCGCGCCTCGACGCGTTCCTCGAGAACGCGGACGCCGCCACCCTCGACGCGCTGCTCGCCGTGCTCCCCACCGCCTCGCCTCCGCCCACCAGCGGCGGCGCGCGCAACGGCGGAGGCAGCGCCAGCGGGGGCACGCGGAACGGGCAGGGCGGGAGGCGCATGGGGCGGGAGCTGCTGATGGGGGCATTCGGCCGCGCGGCCAGGCAGGGGGGACAGAAGCAGGGGGGGCAGCAGCAGGGGGGGCAGCAGAAGCAGGGGGGAGCGCAGCAGGCGCCTGCAGTGAGCGGGTATGCTGTGCTGGCGGGCAGCAGCGCAGCAGGTGTGACGTGGGGCGGGCAGCTCATGGGCGCCCGCCGCTGCTGCTTAAAGCCCGTGTCTCGCATCACTGCCGCTGCTGCTTGATGTGGCGATGGTTGACAGTCATTGCCGCTGCTGCTGCTGCTGGTTTGGGCGTTGGAACCCAGCATGTTGCAGCTGCTCTGGATCATGGGCAGCTGGAGTAGCTAAATTAGGTCAACGCATCAAGGGCAGGAATGCTGGCAAGGAATTAAAGAACACCAGTTGACTTGCCAGTCTTCCTACCCCTGATTGATCTGTTGAAATTGGAAGGAATGGTGATCAGTGTCATTTGTGTTTGTCTGTGTGCTAGTAGTATTTATAAAATTAGTCCATTCTCTGTTTCCCTTGGTGTCAGACATGTTTTGTGAGATTGCAATGCAAGTCTTGAGATAAATATATTTGCCAAGCAACGAATTTGACAAAGAAAAAGAAACACCTCCGACAATCAAGCCAGAAGTCCTTCAGACAAGATTCTAGTGGCAGCGGAGGAAGGTTGCATGCAGAAGCGGGGAGCTGTACTGGCAGCAACGATAACGCTGCCAAGGAATGGCTGAGGCAGTCAAGCCAAATGACCCTTTGACAAGATTCCCATGCCAGCAGCAGAGGCAGGTTGGTGGCGGCGCAGCACTAGCAGGTGGAAGAGCAGAGCTGCAGTGGCAGCAATGACAGCACTGCCGGGGAGGAGATGGGGGGAAGAAAGGGAAAGGGAGGTGGAACAGAGGTGGGGAAGGTGCAACGGATTGGCAGCAGAGGCAGGCTGATGGCGGCGCAGCACTAGCAGGTGGAAGAGGAGAGCTGCAATGGCAGCAATGATTGCAGTGGCAGGGAGAACATGGACGGAAGGGGGGAGGGACAGAGGTGGCAAGGTTGAAAGAATTCGTTGCACTAGCAGGCGGAAGAGGAGAGCTGCAGTGGCAGCAATGACAGCACTGCCAGGGAGCAGATGGAGGGAAGGAAGGGAAAGGGAGGTGGAACAGAGGTGGGGAAGGTGCAACGGATTGGCAGCAGAGGCAGGCTGGTGGTGGTGCAGCACTCGCATGTGGAAGAGGAGGGCCGCAGTGGCAGCAATGACAGCACTGCCAGGGAGGAGATGGGGGGAAGGGAAGCAAAGAGCAAAGTGTGAGGTGCGCACAGGAACCAACGTGAGACCTAAGTGAGCTGCAGTGGCAGCAGCGATAGAGCTGCCAAGGAGCACATGGAGGGAAGAGGGGAGGGACAAAGGAGGAAAACAAAGGATTTAAGGTGAAGTGCACACAGAGTGCAGCACATTCATGTAGCACGTGGCACCAATGCCACATTCATTTCAGGCACTGGCATGATGCTTAAGGTGACTTTTGGGTCGCCTCAGAAGCAAGGCGCGCAGGACTTGAACAACCGTGTCGACAGTCACAAGCATGTAAGGCACTGGTGTCATGCGTAAGTAACACACCATGTTTTCTGAGGGCACAAGTAATCCACCGGTTACAAAGCAGAATGGCACACCACCGGGTTTCGGGACAGCGACAGGGGCGTAATGGACCAGTGTGAATAAGCATGCCATAGGGCTTACCTGACAGCGACAGGGGCGTGGTAGCCGAATTGGGAGGAGAGGAGGCCAGCAGCAGAGGGACCGAGCACTCGACAGGCCGACATGATGGCATCCGATAGGCCCAGCAGCTGACCCACCTGGGGTGAGGGAACGGGAAGGGAACAAGGTCAGAGGGAGAGGGGGGGAAGTGATAGGACATAGTGTCATGTTGCAGAGGGACCAAAAACTCGATAGGCCGACATGATGGCGTCTGATAAACCGAGTAGCTGACCCACCTGGTAGGGGAGGGCAGCGGAGTGTACGGGGTGTAGAGGGGGGGTGAGTAAGAGCAACATGCATCGCTTTATTATTACAGTCAACGACTCGACAGGCCGACATGATGGCATCTGATAGACCCAGCAGCTGACCCACCTGGTAGGGGCAGGGGAAGGAAAGGGAAGAGGAAGACGGGGGGCGAGAGCATGGGGTGTCATGTGGAAGAAGGACCGAGCACTCGACAGGCCGACATGATGGCGTTTGACAGACACAGCAGCTGACCCACCTGGAATGGAGGCAGGAGAATGGAAGGGAAGAGGGAGAGGGGGGAAGAGAGCATGCGGTGTGGTGCCAAAGAGGGACAGTGCTTTTGACAGGCCAACACGATGTGGGGCGGAGCACTCGACACGTTACATGGCTTGGCTTCCCAACAAGTGATGGTTGTAGAGAAGAGGAGAAGGGAGACGGGAGAAGAGAGCGTGCCTGCCATCTCGAAGGGCGACCAGCACTCGACAGTTGAACAGGCATAATTTCCTTTCCTCACACAGCGTGCGCAAGAGGGGAAGAGGGGAAGAGGGGAAGAGGCTTACTTCACTCTGAGCGACAGAGGTCGTGAAGAGGGCCGTGTATGTGGTGCGGAGAACACCGGTTGAGAGGATTTTTGAGGTGCCTCAAAAGGCTTACCTCACTCTGTGCGACAGAGGTGGTGAGGAGGGCCGTGTAAGTGGTGCGGAGAACACCGGTTGAGAGGGCGAGCGGAGGTAGTAGTAGGATCAGGAAAAGCTGAAGGCAGGGGAGTTGGGATCGGGAGGGTATTTGAGAGTTCTCAAAAGCAACTCCAGCAAAAAAAGGGCGGAAAACACGCAAAAATGGCAGAATAACAGAAGCGAGAGGGCTTTTGCAAAGCACGAAGTGAGAGGCAGAGGAAGAGGCAGATGGAGAAACAGAAGAAGAGGCAGAGAAAAAAGCAGAAGAGGCAGATGGAGAGAGCATGCTACAAGGAGGAACGATTTATGAGGCCGAGAGACGCAGCAATGGGTGAAGGAGAGCGAGAAGAAGAAGCGAAGGGAGAGGCAGATGCAGAGAGCATGCTACAAGGAGGAACGCTATGAGGCTGGGACAACAAGTGCTTACAAGGCTGGGAGCAGCAGCAAGCGGGGTGAGGGTGAGTGAGAGCAATAGCAGGCAGGGAGAGGGGGAGGGTAATATAGATTTATGAGGCTGGGGCGCAGATGCTTACAAGGCTGGGAGCAGCAGCGAGCAGGGCGAGAGTGAGTGAGAGCAGCAGGAGGCCGCGGAAAATGAGAGGCGTTTCCGGAAAGCGGCGCAGCAGGGGACGGATAGCAAGGCCCTGTACCAGCGATGTGAGGAGACCCTGCATTCATATGTGTATAGTGGGGAATAAGGTGCCTAATGAGCGTCACAGCGAGCAGGGGGAGAGTGAGTGAGAGCAGCAGGAGGCCGCGGAAGATGAGAGGCTCTTCTGGTTGAGGTTGATTTTGAGGTTGAGGAGAATTCTCAAAATCAACCTCAAACAAAAAGGAAGATGAGAGGCTCTTCTGGGAAGCGGCGCAGCAAGGGGCGGATGGCCAGGCCCTGTACTAGTGATGTGAGGAGACCCTGGGAGGTGGGGATTGGAAGAGAGGGACACCGAATAAGGTCTGACAGGCTGAAATATGGTGCGGGAAGTGGTGCAGCAAGGGACGGATGGCGAGGCCCTGAACGAGCGATGTGAGGAGACCCTGAGGGGTGGGGATATGAGCATGGAGGTGGGGATATGAGCATGGAGGTGGGGAGGATGGCGAAGAGATTAAGGGGCGGATGGCGAGGCCCTGTACCAGCGATGTGAGGAGGCCCTGAGGGGGGGGATAGGGTGAGAGGTGGGGATGGTGAAGAGAAGAGGATGAAATTGGGTGGATGAAGGCACACAGGAAGCAGTGCAGCAAGGGACGGATGGCGAGGCCCTGTACGAGTGATGTGAGGAGGCCCTGAGAGGTGGGGTGGTGAAGAGAAGAAGAGGCGGATGAAATTGCCTTGTTGATTGAAGGCACACTGGAAGCGGTGCAGCAAGGGACGGATGGCGAGGCCCTGTACTAGCGATGTGAGACCCTGGGTCTTGTGACATTCTTCTCAGCGAGCTGCAAACTTGACTAGGACTTAAAGCAAAAGATAGACAGTAAAATTCCTCCTGTATTTTGCTTTAAGTCCTAGTCAAGTTTGCAGCTCGCTGAGAAGAATGTCACAAGACCGATCGGTGCAGCAAGGGACAGATGGCGAGGCCCTGTACTAGCGATGTGAGACCCTGGGAGAAGAACATGTGAATAGAGGAAGAGAGGTGGGTACAACATACTAACCATTAGCCACTCACACCCCCATTTCATCACTCACCACGACTCACCACCGCTCACCACCGCTCACCATCACTCACCTGCAATGAGAGCAGCAGCCCGTTGGTGTGCACGGGGAGGTTGAGGCGGTAGATGAGGAGCAGCGAGAAGCCTTGCATTGCCAGCCCCACAGAAGGGCCATCAATTGCCAATCACCACTCACCACCGCTCCTCACCACTCATTACCGCTCACCACCACACACCATCACTCACTTGCAGGGAGAGCAGCAGCCCGTTGGTGTGCACGGGGAGGTTGAGACGGTAGATGAGGAGCAGCGAGAAGCCCTGCCGGAACAGATGCACCGCCAGCCCCAGCCCCAGCAGGGCCACCATTTGCTGCTCATCACCACATTGCACCTACCTGCAGCGACAGGAGTAGCCCGTTGGTGTGGACTAGCAGGTTGAGGCGGTAGATGAGGAGCAGCGAGAAGCCCTGGCGGAACAGATGCACCGCCAGCCCAACACAGGAACCCCATTTGCCACTCACCACCACTCGCCACCACTCACCACCACTGACCACCGCACACCACCGCTCACCTGTAGCGAGAGCAACAACCCGTTGGTGTGCACGGGGAGGTTGAGACGGTAGATGAGGAGCAGCGAGAAGCCCTGGCGGAACAGATGCACCGCCAGCCCCCCAGAAGGGCCACCGTTTGCCACTCATCACCACTCACCACCACTCGCCACCACTCACCACCACTCACCACCACTCACCACCGCTCACCACCGCTCACCTGCAATGAGAGCAGCAGGCCGTTGGTGTGCACGGGGAGGTTGAGGCGGTAGATGAGGAGCAGCGAGAAGCCCTGCCGGAACAGATGCACCGCCAGCCCCAGAACTGCCCGCACTGCCATTAGCGCTGCCACTCGGGGTCGAGTCAATATGGCGACCTGTGGGAGGGAGAGGGAGGGAGGATGGAAGGGAGGAAGTAAGGGAGGAAGGGGAAAGGAAAAGGGCCGAGACGATGGGTCTCAGTGCACTTAAACAGATGCACCGCCAGCCCCAACACTGCCCGTACTGCCATCAGTGCTGCTACACGGGGGCTAGTCAATATGGCGACAAACAGGGAGGGAGGATGGGAGGGACGGCAAGAGGGACAAGGGGGCGGACGACGGGTGTCAGCGCATGTGATGAGATGCACCGCCAGCCCCAGCACTGCCCGTACTGCCATCAGTGCTGCTACACGGGGGCTAGTCAATATGGCGACAAACAGGGAGGGAGGATGGGAGGGACGGCAAGAGGGACAAGGGGACGGACGACGGGTGTCAGCGCATGTGATGAGATGCACCGCCAGCCCCAGCACTGCCCGTACTGCCATCAGTGCTGCTACACGGGGGCTAGTCAATATGGCGACAAACAGGGAGGGAGGATGGGAGGGACGGCAAGAGGGACAAGGGGACGGACGACGGGTGTCAGCGCATGTGATGAGATGCACCGCCAGCCCCAGCACTGCCCGTACTGCCATCAGTGCTGCTACACGGGGGCTAGTCAATATGGCGACAAACAGGGAGGGAGGATGGGAGGGACGGCAAGAGGGACAAGGGGACGGACGACGGGTGTCAGCGCATGTGATGAGATGCACCGCCAGCCCCAGCACTGCCCGTACTGCCATCAGTGCTGCTACACGGGGGCTAGTCAATATGGCGACAAACAGGGAGGGAGGATGGGAGGGACGGCAAGAGGGACAAGGGGACAGACGACGGGTGTCAGCGCATGTGATGAGATGCACCGCCAGCCCCAGCACTGCCCGTACTGCCATCAGTGCTGCTACACGGGGGCTAGTCAATATGGCGACAAACAGGGAGGGAGGATGGGAGGGACGGCAAGAGGGACAAGGGGACGGACGACGGGTGTCAGCGCATGTGATGAGATGCACCGCCAGCCCCAGCACTGCCCGTACTGCCATCAGTGCTGCTACACGGGGGCTAGTCAATATGGCGACAAACAGGGAGGGAGGATGGGAGGGACGGCAAGAGGGACAAGGGGACGGACGACGGGTGTCAGCGCATGTGATGAGATGCACCGCCAGCCCCAGCACTGCCCGTACTGCCATCAGTGCTGCTACACGGGGGCTAGTCAATATGGCGACAAACAGGGAGGGAGGATGGGAGGGACGGCAAGAGGGACAAGGGGACGGACGACGGGTGTCAGCGCATGTGATGAGATGCACCGCCAGCCCCAGCACTGCCCGTACTGCCATCAGTGCTGCTACACGGGGGCTAGTCAATATGGCGACAAACAGGGAGGGAGGATGGGAGGGACGGCAAGAGGGACAAGGGGACGGACGACGGGTGTCAGCGCATGTGATGAGATGCACCGCCAGCCCCAGCACTGCCCGTACTGCCATCAGTGCTGCTACACGGGGGCTAGTCAATATGGCGACAAACAGGGAGGGAGGATGGGAGGGACGGCAAGAGGGACAAGGGGACGGACGACGGGTGTCAGCGCATGTGATGAGATGCACCGCCAGCCCCAGCACTGCCCGCACTGCCATCAGTGCTGCCACTCGGGGGCGAGTCAATATTGCGACCTGGGAGGGAGAGTGGCGGAGGATGGGAGGGACAACGGGAGGGAGATGGACGGACGATGAGGGTCAGTGCATTTGAAACGATACATGGAGTAACCTCTCTATCCAATGCTTTACCATGAGGACATCCACAAGGGGATGCATGTTGAGTTGGAGAAGAGAAGGATAGTGAAGGGAGGAGAGCAGCAGGAGAAGAGAAAAGGGAGGAGAGAAACGGGCGGAAAGAAGTAAGAGGAGGAAAAGCGGGTGGGAGTGAAACGAGGCATACGTTAGGAAGGAGTCCTTGCAGTGAGAAAAGTCTTGTTCTCTTGGAGGCATGTAATGGTGCTGAGTTGGCAGAAATCTTCTGGGCTTCCAGCCTCGTGACTATAACGAAGGAGTTAATGGCATAAAGAAGGGCTGCTGCTGCTGTTGGGAGCGGGTAACTACCTGCCTGTGTGGGATGACCGATGGGGGAGAAGCGAGGGAGGGGGGTGGGGAATGGAGAAAGATGATGGACAGTAGCACACGGGAGGCTGATAAACTTGAAGCAGCAATTTATTATAGCAAGACTTACTAAGAATAGCATGGCACCCACAGCAGCATATTTTAGCAACACTTACTTTAAATAGCATACCACCCACGGCAGGGCCAACCATGATGCCCAATGCTGATGCTGTTGCCATCCTGTTCCGGTGGAGTGGTGTGGAAGGAGGGTAAGGTGACAAGGCAGCAAGGAAGCCACTCTAAACCTCATATAGCAGTATTCGCGTGTTCGCCGATGCCCAAGCCCATGCCCCATGCCCCAGGCCCCGGCCCTGGCCCCTACTCCCCAGCCTCCCAGCAGCCATTTCAGTTCCATCGAGTCAGCATCACCATGGCTCGCCCCCACCCCACCACACCCATGGCCCAGGAACACACAGACGGCTTGACTGCATTCACACTGTTCTTGCTGCTTGTTGCTTGGTGCTTGGTGCTTGACTGTCCTCTCAAGGGAAAAGAAGAACCGCATCCAGGGAATGGCATGGTCTGACCTGCCCAGCTCCACGGCTCTGTTGGTGGCTGTGGTGTGATCCGCCACATACGCCTTCACTGCATTCATGCTGTGCTTCGTGATGCCCAGTAGCACCCGAGAGATCACCACCATCTGAATGGATGCGGGGCGGGGGGTTAAAGAGGAAGCGCTCGAGGGTGTGTAAGGAAGGTTTGAAGGGATGTTCACAGGAGGTGGGCTTGCAGGGGGGCCATACGCCTTGACTGCGTTCATGCTGTGCTTGGTGATGCCCAGTAGCAGACGCGAGGTGACAATCATCTGGAGGGATGCGGAGGAGGATAAAAGAGGAAGCCACGGAGAGAGGAAGATTTGAAGGGGTATTCACGAGGTGGAATTGCAAAGGAGGTTGAAAGGAGCCGACTCGATACTAAAGAAACGAAGAGTCTCAAAGTAAAAGTGTTTCAGTCTACATGCAAGAATACGAGCCTAGCAGATTCTCACTTGCGAGGGGACATCAGAAGTTCATTGGACATAAGGTATTCAAACACAAGGAGAGATGTATATCCTATTCCCTTCAAACTCGTCACATGCTGTGTCACATTTCTCTCACCGCCACAGTGCTGCTCTGTCCTCTCAGCAAGTAGCTGGCCCCTGCGCCAGCATAAGTAAGCACCCCCTTCCCCCCTCATAACCCCACCCCCCTTCCTCCCCCTCACCGTTACAGTGGTGCTCTGCCCTAGCAGCAGGTAGCTCGCCCCTGCACCAGCATACGCCACCAGAATGACAACCCGCCTGCCCATGCTGTCACTCAGCAGACCCTGCGGGGACACGCGGGAATGTCAAGAGAGAGGCAGCGAGGGAAAGAGGGCTATGGGTATTTGTTTGGAGTTGAGGGAAAGAGGTCACACACACATCAAGCCACCAGCAGCAAGCAGCTCATGTCGAGACCAGCACAACGTGGAATGCTGAAAAAAGAAGTGACTTTTGAATCGACTCAAAAGTGTCGAGAGCAGCACAACGTGGAATGCTGAAAAAAGAGGTTCATTGTTCAACGTGAGTGGAGATCAAGAAAAGGGAAGCTAGGTTTGCTTACAAAGAATGGGCCAGTAACGAGTTGCACAGCTCCATATGTGGACGAGAGGAAGCCGACCTGTAAAGGGGACGCTCCTAACGCGGACAGAGAGTCCAGCGGCAGTATACCAGGTAAGGGAAGAGCAGGGAGCAGGGGAGAGGGGCGGGGAGGGGGCAGGGGGCAGGGGGCAGGGGGAGGGACGGGAGAGGCGGTATTGCAAAAGGCGAGCAAAAGTGGGATTGCTGGCAGCAATGGTACCATCTTCAAATGCAAGTGAAAAAGGCCATGGGTAGATTCTCTCAGCAGAGGAACCCTTGAATTTTTATAAGCGTACCTAGCTCCTTGATTAGCGGCGTAACGAGCGGCATGGCCATGCCCACTGCAAACAGGTCCAGGAACACGACGACCAATATCACCACGCCACGTGGCACGCCCTTCTCTGCACCTACTACTGGCGGCATCCCCTCCCTTATCCGCACAATGCTTCTTTCCCCCGTTACAATGTCCTGCCCATCGTACTCGCTATTGCCCGTCCCTGTATAAGCGCCTTTCTCCAAAACGGCATCCGTCTCTCTGCCCGTCGAGTCACCGTTGTACATCCGCGATACTGCCTCGTCGCCGATACACATCTCCCCTCCCTCAACTCCTTCGCCACTCTTTCGCGCGGAACTCTCCGCCGCCCGCCATCTCTCCGCCAGTAACCGCTCCCCCTCATCATTCATTTCCGCTTCCCCCACCCGCGGCATTCGCGCTCCCCGCTTGAATCACACTGGCGCCATCAGCTGCAGCACTTATTTTACGACGATTTCCCCGCTATACGCTGATCGAATAAATGAGTAAGCCATGGAGGGGCGGGCCCAAGCAAACGAATCTGTCGACACCTACAAACTTATAATCGCCATTGCTGGAATCGCAAAATCGATACCTAATTACTCCTACTATCGGATTGCTAATTACGACCTGTGCACTAGGTTCTATCACGTGAATGCTGCATGCCTTATAAACGAGGCCTGAAACTGACGGCAAGTGAGACGAAAACGGAAAGCTCGGGTGCGGAAAAACGGCGCATTCGAAGTGAGAGGCTCCGAGCTTCCCGAAGTTAGTTCCAGGCTCGAAACGCGACGCGACCTAAAAGCGTCCAGTCACTGCGGCCAATGTGGTACAGAAGCACCACATCCCACCCCAGTTTGCTTATAGATAGTTATTTGTGTACTCATAATTATTCATTATTAACAGTGCAGTTCTCAGCTTGAGAAATCTGTAACCCTAAAACTTCATGTGGAATATATCGGCTTCCCAAAACATGTCTGAATACAAGCACACGAATTACATCAATCACAACAAATAACCTCACAAGAACAATCAGAGGTAGGAAGACTGGCAAGTCAGCTGGTGTTCCCTGATGCATTGCCAGCATTCCTGCCCCTGATGCTTTGGCCTAATTTAGCTATTCCCCGGGAGTCTAAACAAAGCTATCCAGTCCAGACACACACACCAATGAGAAGCCCTGAAGCCCATCATACCCTGCAGGTGATTGTTCAACATGGAAGTACCAAGCCGACACCGGAGCCATGCTAAAGGCAGTGAATCCTCAAGCAGCACAAAAGCCTGCATCAGGATGAGTTCAAGCAGCACCAACGGCTGCAGCAGCACAGAAGTGGCGCATCAAGCAGCAGCGGCACTGATGCGAGACACGGGCTTTAAACAGCAGTGGCGGGCATCTTGGCGCCCATGAGCTGCCCGCCCCACGTCACACCTGCTGCGCTGCTGCCCGCCAGGACAGCATACCCGCTCACTGCAGGCGCCTGCTGCGCTCCCCCCTGCTGCTGCCCCCCCTGCTTCTGCCCCCCTTGCTTCTGTCCCCCCTGCTTCTGTCCCCCTTGCGTGGCCGCGAGGCCGAATGCGCGCATCAGCAACTCCCGCCCCATGCGCCTCCCCCCCTGCCCCTTCCGCGCGCCCCCCGTGCTGCCTCCGCCGCCGCTGGTGGGCGGAGGCGAGGCGGTGGGGAGCACGGCGAGCAGCGCGTCGAGGGTGGCGGCGTCCGCGTTCTCGAGGAATGCGTCGAGGCGCGCCTCCGCGTGCAGCAGCCACCACCCCGCGCGCTGCTGCCAGTCCGCCGCGGCGAGCGGCAGCGCGAGCACGTCCGTCGCGGCGGCGTCGCACACGGCGCCCTTCACGATCGCCAGAGAGTCGGGCGGACCGCCCGCCGCGTCCACCAGCATCGCCTCGACGAGCAGATTGTAATTGCCGGTAGAGTTCTTGAAGACGGCGAGGTGGAAGCTGCCGTTAAGGGTCTTCTGATCCACGGCGCAGTTGGCCAGTTGCGCGCCGATATCGGCCGTCAGATTCCCGACGGCCGTTAGGTTTAGCGGAGGCCCGTGCGGTCCGCCAGGCCCGCCAGGCCCGCCAGGACCGTCGCGACCGCCGGGACCGCCGGAACCGGCGCCAGGACCTCCGCGCTGACCGCCGGGAGGACCTCCGCCAGGCGGACCACGCTGCGCCAAGGCGGACGTCGACACGAGGAGGAGCACGCACGCGAGGACGAGCGCTCTGACTGCCGCCATGGCTGGATCTGTATCGAGCTGCGATTTACGAAGTGGCGAAAAAATTCCTGGTGTATGGGTCGCACTGACTAGGGAGCTTGAGTGAAGAAAGTGGAGCGTGAAATGGAAGCTGTTGGTGAGTGAAATGGTAGGAGAGTCAATGGCAACTTATAGGTTAGTCAAAACCACGAGTCTGGTTTTGGGAGGTTGACGCGAGTCAAAGCAGCTGGGTTTGAGGCTGAGGCTTGTGTGTGAAAATTGCCAAGGGATGTGTGAGGTTCGGAAATATTCAGACCAACTGTGGAGGTGTACATACACCAACCGAGAGTTGAAAATGTGCGACGGGATTCAAACGCGTGAGTCAGCGCGATCTGAAGGCAAATCACACAAAGAAAAACGCGTCAAGTCAGCGCGAAAGGGTAGCTGCAACATCATTCCTGCACATTGGCAGGTGCAGTATAGGATACAACGCTTATAGCAACATTCGATACGTAATTATAGTCTTTTTCTTTCTTGAAATAATTGGTGAGAATGTTCCTCGTGTGGTTGAATCTGCATCTGGAGGATTTGTTGAACACATGCAATGCTTCAAAATCAGCTTCTAACAAGGAAGGGCCGTTTGCCTTACTCCGTTCTGTACCTGCCTACTGCACCAGTGCTTCACGTCTAATCCACACACTACCACCTGTTATCGTTGACTGACCGCTTGTGACCTGCATATCACCTAGTATTCGTAAAATTGATGAGAGGAACAGAAGCAGACATGAGACCAATAATCCTCTAACTTAATCAGTTGCCAGCCTGTTGGAGCTAAGTTGATAAATGGAAGATGGGGAGGCAGCAAGGCCTTAGTGCACGCAGAGTTTTAGGAGGGGAGGAGGGTGGGGGGGGGGGGGGGCGGGAGGGGGTTGGGGGGGGGGTGGGGGAGGATGGGGGTGAGGAGCGTGGGTGAAGAGGGGGGAGGAGGGAGGGGGGTGGCACAGGGCTCATGTTATTTAAAATCCTCCTGCTGTGGATGCCCTGATGAGAGCTCATGCTCCTGCTATCCTATGGTATGGAATGGGAGCATAGTGGGGGGTAATGACAGAATGCAGAATGGAAGGGGAAAATGAAAATCAGCGAAGAAGGGAAACGGCGAGGGTTTGTGGCGATGGTATGTGATATGTAGTAACCTGTAACATATGGTACAGCAGTGGCCGAACGATTGCCATCTGAGTCCACTCAGTCACCCGCACAGCAGTGGCTCTGTGTATGCCTTCTGAGTCTGCTTTGTGCTCTTCATTCCCATGACCCTACCCATTCGCATGCCCATGCCCATGCCCATGCCCATGCCCATGCCCATGCCCCAACCTCCCACTTGCCTATCCAACCCCATCGAATCAGGATCACCATTTCCCAACCTCACCCATTTCCCAACCTCGCGCGTTGCCCATCCACAACCACTGCGAAGCTTCTGCATGGGAAAAACATTGCCGTCTCACCTGAGACCTCCTTGGTTGTGTTGGTGGGAGTGGTGTGATCGGTCACACACGACTTGACTGCATTCGTGTTGTGCTTGGTGATTCCATCGTGTGTGAAGGGATGGGACGACCATGATCTGAAAAAAGAGAAGGGAAGGCAAGCAAGGAGGTTGAAGAGGAAGTTGTGAGGGAAATTGTTAGGGGATAAAAGACGGTTTCCACAGGGTTTGAAGAAGTCTGCAGGAAGCTCAAATTCAGTTTTAAGAAGGGTCAAGAGAGCGTTTGAAGAAGGCTGAATTCGTCTCACCAAACATACATGCAAGAATGAGCCGTGAAGGGAAAGAAAGCTGAGCAAGAACAGTGGTCGAGCAAAAACTAAAATGTAAGGGAGTGAATACATGAGGAGAGAGGCCGAGTGTATATAGATAGAAGAGTGAGGCGTGCACAGAACAACGAGAGATGGAAATCCAACACGCGACTTTTGAGTGGACTCAAAAGTCTGCACAGAACAACGTGGGTAACGACCTTGATAAAAACTTAAAACTTAAAACTGCACAGAACAACGAGAGATGGAAATCCAACGTGCTTTGAAGTCGGCTCAGGAGCGACTGATTTCGTTTTCATTCTGACAAAAGACTTGCTGCGTCGTTCATCTCTCACCGTTAGCAGCAAGCAGCTCGCCCCTGCCCTCCGTCTCTCACAGTGACACTGGTGCTCTGCCCTGGCAGTTGCAGGGAGGTTTCAAGAAAGCTGAAAAAAAAAAGGAGTAAGGAAGTTACGATAAGGTTAGAAAAAGAGGTAAAATCCGTCACTCCACCAGCCGAATCAACTCATACATGAAATGAAACAGTGAGTTGTGAAGTGAAATAGTGTCAATATTCATGTGCAAGAACATGAGATGAGCCGGGCAGATTCTGTCTTGCGAAGGGAAACGTAAGGGTAGAGGTCATGTGTGCATGTATCAAGAGTGAGGCATGCACACAGCACGGAGATATTAAAATATGTTCTGATGTAAGTCAACTCGGGAGCAATTGGTTGCAGTTATTACTTACTCGCCATCTGCAGCATCGTGCTTCTCTCACCGTTATACTGGTGCACCGCCCTAGACATCAGCACACAGCGATTGAGGCGCTTCGAGCAGCAGGAAGATCCCCCCACATCCGGTGCTCCGGTGCTCCGCACCTCTCCTGAGATGTACTCCGGTGCTCTGCCCTAGCGGGAAAGATTCCTCCCCTCCACCTCACCCCTCCCCCACCCCCAACCCCTCTCTTTCCCCCCCCTTTCCCCCCTCCCCCATCCCTCTTTCTCCCTTCTCTCACCGTGACACGAAGAATGGCCGGGTAAGGAGTTGCACAGTGCCGTATGTGGACGAGAGGAAGCCGACCTGTAAAGGGGATGCTCTTAACGCGGACAGAGGGTTCAGAGGCAGCACGCCAGGGTATTCGGGGGGGAAAGGAGCAGCGGGGAGCGGCGCAGGTTGAGGGGCAGGGGGACGGGGCAAGGGGGAAGGGTCAGGGTAAGCAGCAAGGGAGGGGCAGGGGGAAGGATCAGGGGGGAGGGGCGCATGTCGAGGCGCAGGGAGGCGGGGGAAGGGCAAATGGGCAAAGGAAAGGTGCAATGGGAAGGGGCAAGGGGTGGGTAAGGGGGAGACAGGGGGACGGGGAAATGAGAAGGGGCATGTGGGAGGGACAGGAGGGAGAGGCGGAGTGGGAGGGGCAAAGGGAAGGAGCAAAGGGAAGGGGCAAAGGGAAAGGGCAAAAGGTAGGGGCAAAGGAGAGGGATAAAGGGGAGGGGCAAAGGAGAGCAGGGGAAGGGCAAGGGTAAAGAGACGGGGGAAAAGGGGGGTGGAGGGGCAGAGGAAAGGCACAAGGTGGGGGGCCAAGGGGAGGGGAAAGGGGAAGGGACATGAGGAACGGACAGGAAAAAGGGCCAGGGGAGGAGGAAAGGCAGGGGGTAGGGGCAGGGAGAGGGAAGGGGCAGTGGGGAGGGGCGGGTCGGAGGGGAAGTAGATGCAAAAGAAGCGCTAAAATTGGGATGCACGCCCATGGCAGAAACGGCAAACGCCACGTGGCATGCCCTTATCTTCGCCTGCAGCTGGCGAGGTCCCCTCCCTTATCCGCACAATGCTTCTCCCCCCGTTACAATGCCCTGCCCGTCCCCGTACTCGTTATTGTCTGTCCCGTGATAAGCTCCGTTTTCCAAAAGGCCGTCCGGCTCTCTTCTCGTCATTCCACTGATGCGCATCTGCGATACTGCTTCGTCGCCAATACACGTCTCCCCTCCCCCCAACTCCTCCAGTCTTCCCCGCGGCACCCTCCGCCGCCTGCCATCTCTCCGCCAATAACCGCTCCCCCACCTCATTCGCTTCCGCTTCCGCCATCCGCGCCATTCGCGCTCCCCGCTTGAATCGCACTGGCGCCATCCGCTGCGTCACCTACTCGACTCTAGGTTTCCCGCTACAAGCTGATCGGATACACGAACAGGACAGTGGCGGCCTGGGTCAGGCGGCGACAAATTTGGTGGAACTTGCAAGCTTATAATTGCCTTTAATCGCTGTTTGGAAACCTAATCACGCTTATGATCGGACTGCATGAGCGTGCTTAGAGCGGTTTGCTGCTAGTGACCGAACCTATCCTATTTCGTGACCGTTGCGGCAAGTGAGACGACGGAGCGAAGCTGGGATGCGGGGAGAAGAGAGGAGCACACCTTCCAGCCCTGAAACGCGACGCGACCTAAAAGCGTAGGTTTGTGGCTAACGCGGTACACTAGCAACACATCCCATTCAAGTTTGCTTATGAAAATCCATCCGTGTTTACCGGTATCTAACTATTCATATTTCAGAGTAACAACAAACGTGTTTTGAGAGATCTTTTACTCTCATGTCAAGGATATTTCTATCCCGAAACATGTAAAACACAAAGAGCCCACAGGTCAGAGAACAAACACTGACAATAAATTACCCACAGCCAACACAAGTGACACATATCACAACAAATAACCTCACATGAACAATCAGGGGTAGGAAGTCTGGCAAGTCAGCTGGTGTCCACTGATCCTGATGCCTTGCCAGCATTCCTGCCCCTGATGCCTTGACCCATTTTACCTACTCCCAAGGGCCAGAGCCAGCCCAGAGCAAGCCTATCCAACCGCACACTTCTAAGAAGCCCTCAGGACTCAAGCCCATCACAACGACAACTGCAGCGTGCAACAGGCTGGGTTCCAATGCCCAAAGCCGGCAGTAGCAGCACCGGCAATGACCGTCGATCATCTGCCGGATCAAGCACCAGCAGCAGCACGGCAGCCGAGCGTTAAACAGCAGCGGCGGGCATCTTGGCGCCCATGAGCTGCCCGCCCCACGTCACACCTGCTGCGCTGCTGCCCGCCAGCACAGCATACCCGCTCACTGCAGGCGCCTGCTGCGCTCCCCCCTGCTGCTGCTGGCCCCCCTGCTGCTGGCCCCCCTGCTTCTGTCCCCCCTGCCTGGCAGCGCGCCCGAATGCGTGCATCAGCAGCTCCCGCCCCATGCGCCTCCCGCCCTGCCCGTTCCGCGCACCCCCGCTGGTGCTCCCCCCGCTGGTGCTGCCTCCGCCGTTGCGCCCGCCGCCGCTGGTGGGCGGAGGCGAGGCGGTGGGGAGCACGGCGAGCAGCGCGTCGAGGGTGGCGGCGTCCGCGTTCTCGAGGAACGCGTCGAGGCGCGCCTCCGCGTGCAGCAGCCACCACCCCGCGCGCTGCTGCCAGTCCGCCGCGGCGAGCGGCAGCGCGAGCATGTCCGTCGCGGCGGCGTCGCACACGGCGCCCTTCACGATCGCGAGCGAGTCGGGCGGACCGCCCGCCGCGTCCACCAGCACTGCCTCGACGAGCAGATTGTAGTTTCCGGTGGAGTTTCTGAGAGAAGCGGAAGAGAGGAGGGGAGGGAGGGAGGGGAGGACGAGAGGAATATGCAATGATCTCGATGTTCAGAAGAAACCGCACCTGCTACGACGGATCGATGGTGCAAGTGGAGCGAGGGGTGCGTGCGGAAACCAATGCTAGTGACTAATACTTCAAAATTAATCACATAAACGAAGGCAGCGAAGCGTACTTGAAGACGGCGAGGTGGAAGCTGCCGTTGAGGGTCTTCTGATCCACGGTGCAGTTGGCGAGCTGCGCGCCAACATCGGCCGTCAGATTCCCGACGGCCGTCAGGTTCAGCGGAGGCCCGTGCGGTCCGCCAGGCCCGCCATGCCCCCCGGGACCGTCGCGACCGCCGGGTCCGCCGGGACCGCCGGAACCGGCGCCAGGGCCTCCGCTTGAGCCCCCCGGTCGCCCCCCGGCGGGACCTCCGCCAGGCGGACCACGCTGCGCCAAGGCGGACGTCGACACGAGGAGGAGCACGCACGCGAGGACGAGCGCTCTGACTGCGGCCATGGCTGGATCTGTATCGAGCTGCGATCTACGAAGTGGCGAAAGGTTTCCTGCTGTACGGGTCGCACTGACTAGGAAGCTTGAGTGACGAATGTGGAGAATGAAATGGAAGCTGTGGGAGAGTCAATGGCTACTTATAGGATAGTCAACACGAGGGGTCTGGTCTGGTTTTGGGAGGTAGACGCGAGTCAAAGCCGCGCTGGGCTTCACGCTTGGGTTTGCCTGGTTTGGGAAACTCGTCACGCGATCTCTGATTGGGTAATTGCGGAAGTTCGGAACTGGCCAGACCAAATCTGGAGGTTCGTAATGTACACATCAGCCGATAGTTGAAAACATGCGACGAAGCTCAACGCGTCAGTCAACGCGTCAGACACATGGTAGCAGCAACCACTTTCCTGCACATTGGCCGGTGCAGTATCAGATACAGTATTAACAGTGACATTGCGTTACGTTTGTTATTGTCGCTTTCTTTCTTTAATATAATTCGAGTATAGTCTAAGTGCAGTTCAATGTGAATCTAGAGGACTTGAACACATTCAACGATATTCAGAACACAGCTTGTAACGTGGAATGGTCTTCAGCTAATCCGTTCTGTACCTGCCTATTCCTGACTGCCTACCGTCTGAACCACTTACACCTGCCGTGTGTCGTGACCCGCATATCAGCTAGTCTCAGTAAGATGGAAGGAACAGCAGCAGGAATCCACTTGCTGTGGATCCCCTGCTGATGGCTCATGGTCCTAGTATCCCTGTAGTCTGGAATGGAAGCATGGTGAGGGATAAGGGGAGAATGCAGTTTGGAATGGGAAAGCGAATCTGTGAATGAGGGGAGCGATGGCAGTTAGGGGCGAAGATGAAGTGACATGAGTAGCGTAACATATGGCAGTGGCAGAATGAATGCCTTTAGAGTCCACTCAGTCACTCGCATAGCAATGGCTCTATGTATGCCTTGTGACTCGACTCTACAACTGAGTATCAGTGGTTATAGGCACGCCCATGCCCCTTCCCAGCATCACCCATTCCCCAGCATCACCCATTTCCCAGCATCACCCATTCCCCAGCATCACCCATTCCCCAGCATCACCCATTTCCCAGAATCACCCATTTCCCAGCATCACCCATTTCCCAGCATCACCCATTTCCCAGCATCACCCATTTCCCAGCATCACCCATTTCCCAGCATCACCCATTTCCCAGCATCACCCATTTCCCAGCATCACCCATTTCCCATCATCACCCATTTCCCAGCATCACCCATTTCCCAGCATCACCCATTTCCCAGCATCACCCATTTCCCAGCATCACCCATTTCCCAGCATCACCCATTTCCCAGCATCACCCATTTCCCATCATCACCCATTTCCCAGCATCACCCATTTCCCAGCATCACCCATTTCCCAGCATCACCCATTTCCCATCATCACCCATTTCCCAGCATCACCCATTTCCCAGCATCACCCATTTCCCATCATCACCCATTTCCCAGCATCACCCATTTCCCAGCATCACCCATTTCCCAGCATCACCCATTTCCCATCATCACCCATTTCCCATCATCACCCATTTTCCAGCATCACCCATTTCCCAGCATCACCCATTTCCCAGCATCACCCATTTCCCATCATCACCCATTTCCCAACATCACCCATTTCCCATCATCACCCATTTCCCATCATCACCCATTTCCCATCGTCACCCATTTCCCAGCATCACCCATTTCCCATCATCACCCATTTCCCATCATCACCCATTTCCCATCGTCACCCATTTCCCATCATCACCCATTTCCCAGCATAACCCATTTCCCATCATCGCCCATTTCCCATCATCACCCATTTCCCATCATCACCCATTTCCCATCATCACCCATTTCCCATCATCACCCATTTCCCATCATCACCCATTTCCCAGCATCACCCATTTCCCATCATCACCCATTTCCCATCATCACCCATTTCCCATCATCACCCATTTCCCAGCATAACCCATTTCCCATCATCGCCCATTTCCCATCATCACCCATTTCCCATCATCACCCATTTCCCATCATCACCCATTCCCCAGCATCACCCATTCCCCAGCATCACCCATTTCCCAGAATCACCCATTTCCCAGCATCACCCATTTCCCAGCATCACCCATTTCCCAGCATCACCCATTTCCCAGCATCACCCATTTCCCAGCATCACCCATTTCCCAGCATCACCCATTTCCCATCATCACCCATTTCCCAGCATCACCCATTTCCCAGCATCACCCATTTCCCAGCATCACCCATTTCCCATCATCACCCATTTTCCAGCATCACCCATTTCCCAGCATCACCCATTTCCCAGCATCACCCATTTCCCAGCATCACCCATTTCCCAGCATCACCCATTTCCCATCATCACCCATTTCCCAACATCACCCATTTCCCATCATCACCCATTTCCCATCATCACCCATTTCCCATCGTCACCCATTTCCCAGCATCACCCATTTCCCAGCATCACCCATTTCCCATCATCACCCATTTCCCATCATCACCCATTTCCCAGCATAACCCATTTCCCATCATCGCCCATTTCCCATCATCACCCATTTCCCATCATCACCCATTTCCCATCATCACCCATTTCCCATCATCACCCATTTCCCATCATCATCCATTTCCCAGCATCACCCATTTCCCAGCATCACCCATTTCCCAGCATCACCCATTTCCCATCATCACCCATTTCCCATCATCACCCATTTCCCAGCATCACCCATTTCCCATCATCACCCATTTCCCATCATCACCCATTTCCCATCATCACCCATTTACCAGCATCACCCATTTCCCAGCATCACCCATTTCCCATCATCACCCATTTCCCATCATCACCCATTTCCCAGCATCATCCATTTCCCAGCATCACCCATTTCCCATCATCACCCATTTCCCAGCATCACCCATTTCCCATCATCACCCATTTCCCATCATCACCCATTTCCCATCATCACCCATTTCCCAGCATAACCCATTTCCCATCATCGCCCATTTCCCATCATCACCCATTTCCCATCATCACCCATTTCCCATCATCACCCATTTCCCATCATCACCCATTTCCCATCATCACCCATTTCCCAGCATAACCCATTTCCCATCATCGCCCATTTCCCATCATCACCCATTTCCCATCATCACCCATTTCCCAGCATCACCCATTTCCCAGCATCATCCATTTCCCAGCATCACCCATTTCCCATCATCACCCATTTCCCATCATCACCCATTTCCCATCATCACCCATTTCCCAGCATAACCCATTTCCCATCATCGCCCATTTCCCATCATCACCCATTTCCCATCATCACCCATTTCCCATCATCACCCATTTCCCATCATCACCCATTTCCCATCATCGCCCATTTCCCATCATCACCCATTTCCCATCATCACCCATTTCCCAGCATCACCCATTTCCCAGCATCATCCATTTCCCAGCATCACCCATTTCCCATCATCACCCATTTCCCATCATCACCCATTTCCCATCATCACCCATTTCCCAGCATAACCCATTTCCCATCATCGCCCATTTCCCATCATCACCCATTTCCCATCATCACCCATTTCCCATCATCACCCATTTCCCATCATCACCCATTTCCCATCATCATCCATTTCCCAGCATCACCCATTTCCCAGCATCACCCATTTCCCAGCATCACCCATTTCCCATCATCACCCATTTCCCATCATCACCCATTTCCCAGCATCACCCATTTCCCATCATCACCCATTTTCCAGCATCACCCATTTCCCAGCATCACCCATTTCCCAGCATCACCCATTTCCCATCATCACCCATTTCCCATCATCACCCATTTCCCATCATCACCCATTTCCCAGCATAACCCATTTCCCATCATCGCCCATTTCCCATCATCACCCATTTCCCATCATCACCCATTTCCCATCATCACCCATTTCCCATCATCACCCATTTCCCAGCATAACCCATTTCCCATCATCGCCCATTTCCCATCATCACCCATTTCCCATCATCACCCATTTCCCATCATCACCCATTTCCCATCATCATCCATTTCCCAGCATCACCCATTTCCCAGCATCACCCATTTCCCATCATCACCCATTTCCCATCATCACCCATTTCCCATCATCACCCATTTCCCAGCATCACCCATTTCCCATCATCACCCATTTCCCATCATCACCCATTTCCCATCATCACCCATTTTCCAGCATCACCCATTTCCCAGCATCACCCATTTCCCAGCATCACCCATTTCCCAGCATCACCCATTTCCCATCATCAACCATTTCCCATCATCACCCATTTCCCATCATCACCCATTTCCCATCATCACCCATTTCCCATCATCACCCATTTCCCAGCATCACCCATTTCCCATCATCACCCATTTTCCAGCATCACCCATTTCCCATCATCACCCATTTCCCAGCATCACCCATTTCCCAGCATCACCCATTTCCCAGCATCACCCATTTCCCAGCATCACCCATTTCCCAGCATCACCCATTTCCCAGCATCACCCATTTTCCAGCATCACCCATTTCCCATCATCACCCATTTCCCATCATCACCCATTTCCCAGCATCACCCATTTCCCAGCATCACCCATTTCCCAGCATCACCCATTTCCCAGCATCACCCATTTCCCAGCATCACCCATTTCCCAGCATCACCCATTTCCCAGCATCACCCATTTCCCAGCATCACCCATTTCCCAGCATCACCCATTTCCCATCATCACCCATTTCCCAGCATCACCCATTTCCCATCATCACCCATTTTCCAGCATCACCCATTTCCCAGCATCACCCATTTCCCATCATCACCCATTTCCCATCATCACCCATTTCCCATCATCACCCATTTCCCATCATCACCCATTCCCCATCATCACCCATTCCCCATCATCACCCATTTCCCAGCATCACCCATTTCCCATCATCACCCATTTCCCATCATCACCCATTTCCCATCATCACCCATTTTCCAGCATCACCCATTTCCCAGCATCACCCATTTCCCAGCATCACCCATTTCCCATCATCACCCATTTCCCAGCATCACCCATTTCCCAGCATCACCCATTTCCCATCATCACCCATTTCCCATCATCACCCATTTCCCAGCATCACCCATTTCCCATCATCACCCATTTCCCATCATCACCCATTTCCCATCATCACCCATTTACCAGCATCACCCATTTCCCAGCATCACCCATTTCCCATCATCACCCATTTCCCATCATCACCCATTTCCCATCATCACCCATTTCCCAGCATAACCCATTTCCCATCATGACCCATTCCCCATCATCACCCATTTCCCATCATCACCCATTTCCCAGCATCACCCATTTCCCAGCATCACCCATTTCCCAGCATCACCCATTTCCCAGCATCACCCATTTCCCATCATCACCCATTTCCTAGCGTCACCCATTTCCCATCATCACCCATTCCCCATCATCACCCATTTCCCATCATCACCCATTTCCCATCATGACCCATTCCCCATCATCACCCATTTCCCATCATCACCCATTCCCCATCATCACCCATTTCCCAGCATCACCCATTTCCCATCATCACCCATTTCCCATCATCACCCATTTCCCATCATCACCCATTTTCCAGCATCACCCATTTCCCAGCATCACCCATTTCCCAGCATCACCCATTTCCCAGCATCACCCATTTCCCATCATCAACCATTTCCCATCATCACCCATTTCCCATCATCACCCATTTCCCATCATCACCCATTTCCCATCATCACCCATTTCCCAGCATCACCCATTTCCCATCATCACCCATTTTCCAGCATCACCCATTTCCCATCATCACCCATTTCCCAGCATCACCCATTTCCCAGCATCACCCATTTCCCAGCATCACCCATTTCCCAGCATCACCCATTTCCCAGCATCACCCATTTCCCATCATCACCCATTTCCCAGCATCACCCATTTCCCAGCATCACCCATTTCCCAGCATCACCCATTTCCCAGCATCACCCATTTCCCATCATCACCCATTTCCCATCATCACCCATTTCCCAGCATCACCCATTTCCCATCATCACCCATTTTCCAGCATCACCCATTTCCCAGCATCACCCATTTCCCAGCATCACCCATTTCCCATCATCAACCATTTCCCATCATCACCCATTTCCCATCATCACCCATTTCCCATCATCACCCATTTCCCATCATCACCCATTTCCCAGCATCACCCATTTCCCATCATCACCCATTTCCCATCATCACCCATTTCCCATCATCACCCATTTCTCAGCATCACCCATTTCCCATCATCACCCATTTTCCAGCATCACCCATTTCCCATCATCACCCATTTCCCAGCATCACCCATTTCCCAGCATCACCCATTTCCCAGCATCACCCATTTCCCATCATTCCCAGCATCACCCATTTCCCAGCATCACCCATTTCCCATCATCACCCATTTCCTAGCGTCACCCATTTCCCATCATCACCCATTCCCCATCATCACCCATTTCCCATCATCACCCATTTCCCATCATCACCCATTTCCCATCATCACCCATTTTCCAGCATCACCCATTTCCCAGCATCACCCATTTCCCAGCATCACCCATTTCCCATCATCACCCATTTCCCAGCATCACCCATTTCCCAGCATCACCCATTTCCCATCATCACCCATTTTCCAGCATCACCCATTTCCCATCATCACCCATTTCCCAGCATCACCCATTTCCCATCATCACCCATTTCCCAACATCACCCATTTCCCATCATCACCCATTTCCCATCATCACCCATTTCCCATCGTCACCCATTTCCCAGCATCACCCATTTCCCAGCATCACCCATTTCCCATCATCACCCATTTCCCAGCATCACCCATTTCCCATCATCACCCATTTCCCAGCATCACCCATTTCCCAGCATCACCCATTTCCCAGCATCACCCATTTCCCAGCATCACCCATTTCCCATCATCACCCATATTCTAACATCAGCTCTTCCCCAATCCCGACGCCAACCTCACCCATTCTGCAACCTCACACATGGCCCAAGCCCCACCATTGTCGAACCTCAACCATCGCCCAACCTCAACCAATGACTAGTCTCACTTATTGCCGAACCTCACCCATCGCCCAGCCTCATCTATATAACCAGCCTGACCAATAGCCAAACCTCACCCACTGTCCAGCCTTTTTCATTGACCAACACACCCATTTCCCAACCTCACTAATTGCCAAGCCTCTCCTATTTCCCAACCACATCCATTGCCCGGGCTTTACTACTTACCAACCCCACCCGTCACCCGTTTTTCAACCTCATGCATTGCTCACCCACACCCACTGCCCAGCACACGACTCACCTGCAGACCTCCACGGCTGTTGTGGTGGGCATGGTATGATCGCCATCGGCCACAAATGCCTTGAGTGAATTCATGCTGTGCTTGGTGGTGCCATCATCTGAAGAGATGGGATGGGCATGATTCAAAGGGATGGGAAGGGAATGCAAAGATGTTGAAGAGGAAATTGTGAGGGAGGACAGGCTTAAAGAATGTACGAAGGAGGACTTAAAGAGGTTTGCAAGAGGTCGAGGGAGTCTCAACGCGGTTTAGAGAATATTTGAAGGTTTTAGGAAGGCTGGATTCATTACACTAAACACCAACTAAACTACCCGAACCAACTCATCCATGCAAGAAAGGGTCGTGAAGTGAGACAATGTATTTATGTGAAACCTAGCTGAGTATGAACATGCGTCAAGCGGAAATCTAATATGTGAGGGAGTCGGTACATGAGGGGAGGGGCCACGTGATTATATGCAGAGACGGAGGCGTGCAGAGACGGAGGCGTGCATAAAAAAAAAAAAAAAAAAAAAAAAAAAAAAAAAAAAAAAAAAAAAAAAAAAAACAGAGACAGAAACAAGTTTTGTTTTGAAGTCAGCTCAAGAGCAGCTGAATCCACTTGTCTTCCCATAATTCACTTGCTGCGTAATTCTTCTCTCACCAGTCCACCGGTGTTGCACCGTAGCGCCAAGCAGCTCCCCCCTGCCTTCCTTCTCTTACCGTGAGACTAGCGCTCTGGCCTAGCAGTAGAAAGAAGGGAAACTAAAAAAAAAATCGGGAAGAAGTCAAAACAAGGTTGAATGGAGATTGAATCCATTACGGTAAGCCGAAATAGCATCGCCACCAGCCAAATTGGCTTATCAACTGATTTGTAAAAATGTGAAGACAAGGTCGAATGAAGGTTGCAGTCTATTTCTGCTCGTGATCCAGTGCATCACGGTCCTCTCGCCATTTTACTGGTGCGCTGCCCTAGACATGAGCACAGGGCGGACGGAGTTGCTACGAGCAGCAGGCAACTCCCCCACATCCCCCCATTTCCCCTCAAGTTCACATTGGTGCTCTGCCCCAGCGGGAAGTTTTCCTTCCCCCTCTCCCTCTCCTCCTAGACATGAGCACAGGTCGAACTGAGTTGCTACGAGCAGCAGGCAACTCCCCCACACCCTCCACCCCTCCTGGCATTTACATCGATGCTCAGCCCTCGGGAGAAGCATTCCTCCCCTCCCCCTCTCCCCTCCCCCTCTCCCATCCCCCTCTCCCCTCCCCCTCTCCCCTCCCCCTCTCCCCTCCCCCTCTCCCCTCCCCCACCCACCCCCCTCTTTCCCCCACCTCTCAACCCTTCTCCCTTCTCTCAACGTGACATGAAGAATGGTCCGGTAACGAGTTGCACACCACCATATGTGGACGAGAAGAAGCTGAACTGTAAAGGGGACGTTCCTAACGCGGATTGAGGATTCAGAGGCAGCACAGCAGGTACCGGAGGGGGAGGAGCAAGGGGCAGGGGCGCAGGTTGAGGGACAGGGGGACGGAGCGAGGGGGAGGGGTCAGGATAAGAAGCAAGGGAGGGCCAGGGGGGAGGAGCAGTGGGAGGGAAAGGAGGGACAGGAGGACGGGGAATTGAGAAGGGGCATGTGGGAGGGACAGGAGGGAGAGGCAGAGTGGGAGGGGCAAAGGGAAAGAGAAAAGAGAACGGGCAAAAGGTAGGGGCAAAGGCGAGGGGTAAAGGGGAGGGGCAAAGGGGAGCATGGGAAGGGCAAGGGTAAAGATTAGGGGGAAAGGGGGGGGGAGAGGGGCCGAGGCAGAGGAAAGGGACAAGGTGGGGGGCAAGGGGAGGGGAAAGGGGAAGGGACATGAGGAGAGGACAGGAAAAAGGGCCAGGGGAGGAGTACCGTATCGCCCCGGATATAACCGCAGGCCTATTAAAAGCGCATGCGCTTTTATCTGGAGCAATGCGCTTATGGCCGATCCTCATTTAGAAGCGCACCCCTTATAAAACCGTTACTTATTATAAGCGCACCCTCGCGGTAATTTTTTTTTTTTTTTTAACTTGAATTCTATTTATATTGTTATAGCTAAAGCAAGGCAATCATTCATTAGTTTTAATTTTGCACTAGCTACAAATTTCACATATGGTCACTATTGTCCTAGCCTAAACAACATCATATTGCCTAGTCTAGCCTTAGGCAAGCTCTACCTCCTCGTCCGATTCAGGCTCCGTGGCGTTGTTGCCCCAGAACCCGTCTGCTTGTATGTCGTCGTCTACCTCTACCTCGTGGCTCAGCTGGCTTCTCCGGTGCGCCATCGCGAGATGGTCTTCACTCCCGTCAAGGGCGTTGCTGATGCCGCACGTGAGGAAGGCCTTCTTAATCAGGTCTACGGGCACGGCCTTCCACGCCCGTGAAATCCACTTAAGCACCACCGCCGGGGGTGGTTTCTTGATGTTCCCTGCACCACATGAAAGGGAGTGATGGAACACGTTAGTCCACAAGCAGGCAGACAAGCACAAGAAAAGGAGAAGGGGGAACATATCAAGCTCACCTGCAGGTGTCAGAATGTTCATGCGGTCCGCCTCAAACCAGGACTGGTACTGCTGGCGAACACTAGCTTTGAAGCTCTTGTTCACCGACACATCGAGCGGCTGGACGTCTGCCGTGCACCCCGCTGGGATGACCGCCGGCACGATGTTGAGCGCCGCGAATCTCGCCTTGACCTCCTTGGTAAGGTGACCACGGTAGGAGTCGAGTACCAGCATGGCGCTCCGACTCTGCACGCCGAATTTCGGCTTCAGGAACGGCACCACGCCCTCATCGAGCCACTGGATGACGCCCGTGGCCTCCATCCACCCGTTTGCTTGGCAGCCGACCACGACATCTGCACACAAGCAACCGGGGGTTAGAATTATTTACGGTATTGTTACTTATATTAAAATCAAGCACAAAAAGATGTACTTACCGTTGGGAAAGTCGCCCTTCGGAAGTGTTTTGCGCTTGAAGAACACCCACGGCTTCAACTTCTCGCCTGTCGTCGTGCACGCCAGCATCACGGTGACTCGTTCCTTCTGGTAACCACCGCTACGGATGGGCACCGACTTCACGCCCGTCTGCTCCACGGTGGTAGTGGCAGGCATCTCCAACCATAGGGGGGTCTGGTCGGCGTTGATTATGTACCGATTGTCGATCCCGTACTCGCTGCGTGCGTCGCGGACAAACTGCCAAAATTCCTTGCACTGCGTCGCCACGTCTGCGCACGGGGGGGAAGGAAATATAGGAACAAGGATGAGGACCGCACCAAGATAAACTTATTCAAACAGGAGGAAACACTAATAAACCATGTGAATTCACGCGCGGTAACCGGGAAAAGAGGCACTTACGTTCCTGTGTTTTCTGCGCCACCTTAGTTTTCATGCGCACGCTGAGGTTCCACCGCTTGCGGAACCGCTCCGACCACCGCTGACTCCCTTTCCACTTGACTTCCGGGAACAGCACCTTCATCACCTCGCGTGACCAATCTTGAAGCCGGCCAACCGAAACTGCAACACCGCGGCGTCGCCAGTCAAGGAGTTGTGCGTACACCTTCAACTTCATGGGTCTGTACCAGGAAGACCTCCCGCGCCCATGAAGTCGACATCGTGCGGCGTGTGAAGCCTTGAGCTCGTCCGCTTGGGTTTTCCACTCCGTCAGACACTTGCGGTGTATGCCGGACTCCCGCGCGACCTCGCTTATCGATGCCGCCAGCTCCAGCCGCACGAGCCACCTTAGTTTCTCCTGGGCGGTGTAGGACTGCCGCTTATGTTGAGACGGCTTGTGCCTGGGGGAGGGGGGGCGGGCATCTCGGTTCTCGGAGGAGGGGTGGGGTCGTTTTTTGTTAATCGGCGGATACGTCGGTATCGGCATCTTCTCGCGCGGTGCGTCGCGCCACCATGACTCCACACCGTCATCGTCCTCGGCAGATGCACGATCTGGGAACACGTCCTCCTCGGCGCCCGCTTCACCGTCGCCTCCACCGTCGCCGTCGCCGGTGTTTTGTTTATCGGCCGCCACGTCATCGTCGGCGCCCACAGCCGACTCGTCCCACGTGCAGGCTTGAGGCTGTCCCCACCGTGGTGCAGGCGGCGGAGCCTGGATGAACACATCGGGGGTCTTGGGTGTGTCAGGTTCAGACAGCCACTCGTCGAAAGTGGCTGGTAAATACAGCGAGAGCACGGGCCGTTCGTGAGCACTTGCACCGACATCAGGCGGATTCGGAGGAGCGGGAGGAGCAGGAGGTGCAGGAGGAGCAGGAGGAGCAGGGGGCGCAGGGGGTTCAGGTGGCACTGGAGGCACTGCTGGCTCATGGGTATACCACCCGTCTTCGGTAAGTCGCCACGGGCGTGCAAGTTTTTTCTTGAAGAGGAAATGCGTCCCGCTGAATTCCGCCATGGCTTCGCCAGCCAGGCGGCCTAGACTGGGGTGTGAATGAAAGAAATGAGAATGAGGCTGCACAAATGGGCATTGATGGGGACCCCGTAAAGTTGGCGCCTCGGGGTCCTCGTCAATGACAGGTGGGAAAACCCCGCCTACCCCCGTAGAGGAACCTGCGTGGCAGCATCTACGCTGCGCTGGCAGGGAATCTTTCCCACCCTTCGAGAGGGTTCGGAAGAAATGCAGATGCCACGCAGCGCATGCGGCTGTGATTGGGCCGCACGGCAACATCCCCGTCACTGCTGTCACGTTCGATGGTTCTAGACAATATTGTGCGGTGGGAAACCGAACCGCTGTTGTTTTTGCCTGAAAACCATGCATGATCCCACGTGTTGCATGGTCGGTTGAGTTCGCCTTATTGCGGGCTTCAATTTGGTATGTGCAACAGTGAATTTTATTTTTTTCCTATTACAGGCGCATGCGCTTATACAAATGACTCAATTAGAAGTGCACCCCCCTAAAAAACAGTGTTTTATTAGAAGCGCACCTGCGCTTCTATCCGGGGTAATACGGTAACGTAAAAGCAGGGGGTAGGGGCAGGGAGGGGGAAGGGGCAGTGGGGGGGAGCAGGGATGGGGAAGGGGCAGGGGGAAGGGAGGGCCACAGGGGCAGTAGATGCAAAAGAAGCACTAACATTGGGATGCACGCCCATGGCAGTAACTGGCAAATGCCACATGGCACGCCCTTATCTGCGCCTGCAGAAGGCGGTGACCCCTGGACAAGAGTGGAATCGCTGTATGGAGACCTAATCACGCTTATAACCTACGGTACTTGCATGTAGCTGCTTATAGCAGTTTGCTGCTAATGACCGAAGCACTACTACTAATTTGTGAACGTTGCGGGCAAGTGAGACGAGGACGCCTTCCAGCCTTGAAACGCGACGCAACCTAAAGCAGGTTCGTGGCTAACACGGTACACTAGCAACACAACCCATTCCAGTTTGCTTTTAAATATCCATCTGTGTTTACCGTATCTTGTTATTCATTATTCAGAGTGCAGTTTGCTGCGTGAGAAATCTGTTACTCCCAGGTGAAAGACATGTTTGACACAAAGAGAAACAGAGAACAAACACTGACTATAAATTACCCACACCCACACAAACGACAGCAATCACAAGAAATAATCTCACAGGGACAATCAGGGGTAGGAAGACTGGCAAGTCAGTTGGTGTCCCCTAAGGTCTTGCCAACATTCCTGCCCCTGATGCTTTGACCTATTTTACCTACCGTACTCCCCGAGAGTCTAAGCAAAGCTATCCAGTCCAGACACACGCACCAATGAAAAGCCCTGAAGCTCATCACACCCTGCAGGTGCTTGTTCACCATGAAAGTACCAAGCCGGTGCCACAGCAATCCTCAGGGCAGTGATGCGTCAAGCAGCAGCAATAATAGCCTGCATCAGGACAAGTTCAAGCAGCACCAACGGCAGCAGCACGGCAGCGGTGCATCAAGCAGCAGCGGCGGGCATCTTGGCACTCATGAGCTGCCCGCCCTACGTCACACCTGCTGCGCTGCTGCCCGCCAGCACAGCATACCCGCTCACTGCAGGCGCCTGCTGCGCTCCCCCCTTCTGCTGCTGCCCCCCCTGCTGCTGCCCCCCCTGCTTCTGTCCCCCCTGCCTGGCAGCGAGCCCGAATGCGCGCATCAGCAGCTCCCGCCCCATGCGCCTCCCGCCCTGCCCGTTCCGCGCACCCCCGCCGCTCCTCCCCGTGCTGCCCCCGCTGGCGCTGCCTCCGCCGTTGCGCCCGCCGCCGCTGGTGGGCGGAGGCGAGGCGGAGGCGAGGCGGTGGGGAGCACGGCGAGCAGCGCGTCGAGGGTGGCGGCGTCCGCGTTCTCGAGGAACGCGTCGAGGCGCGCCTCCGCGTGCAGCAGCCACCACCCCGCGCGCTGCTGCCAGTCCGCCGCGGCGAGCGGCAGCGCGAGCACGTCCGTCGCGGCGGCGTCGCACACGGCGCCCTTCACGATCGCCAGCGAGTCGGGTGGACCGCCCGCCGCGTCCACCAGCATCGCCTCGACCAGCAGGTTGTAGTTTCCGCTCGCGTTCCTGAACGACGGTGCGAGGATAGAAGGGAGGGTAAGTGGGGCAGGGGAAGAGGGGAAGACGCAAATGAGCGCGGAATAATTTGACGAAGCCAATTATCCAAGGGATTCGTGCGGGCCATTTCTAACACTAAGCCGTAGTAGCGATCGGACACCGATGAGGGAAGCGCAAAACGGAATAACGTTTTCTCGCGAGAAAGGAAGGCAGCGAGGCCTACTTGAAGACGGCGAGGTGGAAGCTGCCGTTAAGGATCTTCTGTCCGTCGTGCAGTTCGCGAGTTGCGCGCCGATATCGGCCGTCAGATTCCCGACGGCCGTCAGGTTCAGCGGAGGGCCGTGCGGCGGCTTTCCGCCAGGCCCGCCGGGACCTTCGGGTCCGCCAGGTCCGCCGGAACCGGCGCCAGGGCCTCCGCGCTGACCGCCAGGAGGACCTCCGCCAGGCGGACCACGCTGCGCCAAGGCGGACGTCGACACGAGGAGGAGCACGCACGCGAGGACGAGCGCTCTGACTGCGGCCATGGCTGGTATTGTGTTGAGCTGCGATCGACGATGGCGAAAGTTTTCCTGCTGTAAAGGTCACATTGACTAAGAAACTAAGCTTGTGACGAATGTGGAGAATGAAATGGAAGCTGTGAGTGAAATGGTGGGAGAGTCAATGGCTTCTTATACGATAGTCAAAACCAAGAGACTGGTTTTGGGACGCAGACACGAGTCAAAGCCGGTAAGGTTGGGGTCTGGGCTTGAGGCTTGTGTGTGAAAATCGCCAGCCGATGTGTGAGGTTCGGAACAAACCATACCAACCGTGGAGGTTCGAGGTGTACAACATCACCGAGACGAGAGTTGAAATTGTGCGACGGGATTCAAACGCGTGAGTCAGCGTGAATGTTAGGCAAATCGCACGAAGTAAAACGCGTCAGTCAGCGCAGAAGGGCAGCTGCAACATCCTTCCTACACATTGGCAGGTGCAGTACAAGATACAGCGCTTATAGCAACTTTCGTTATGCTACATATTGTCAGGTTTCTTCTTGAATTAATTGGGTGAATGTTCCTTGTGCAGTTCTTTCTGATTTTTTGAACAGCTGAATTTTTTTGCTTGTAATAAGGAAGGGCGTTTCGCCTACTCCGTTCCGTACCTGCCTTCCAAGTGCCTCACGTCTAATTCACAATATCACCTGGTATTGGTAAGTTTGATAAGAGGAACAGAAGCAATCATGCGACCAATAATCCCCTAGCTTATCAGTTGCCACTCTGTTGGAGCGAAGTTGACGAATGGAAGGTGGGGAGGCAGCAAGGGGGGTTGGGGGGAAGGATGGGGGGGAAGGAGGGGGGTCAAAGAAGGGGGGGGGAGGGAGGGTGTTGCCACAGGGCTCATGTGATTTGAATATTCTTGCTCATTAGAGCTCATGCTCCTACTATCCTACAGTAGTAATTTGAAAGCTTGGTGAGGAATATAGGCAGAACGCAGAAGGGGAGGGGGAAGTGAATCAGCAAAAGAGGGGTGCAGCAACTGTTAGGGGCGTGGGTAAGTGACATGTAGTAGCATGTAACATATGGCAGAGCATTAGCTGAATGATTGCCTTCTGACTGCACTCAATCACCTGCATAGCCGTGCCCCTGAGTATGCTGTTTGAGTCAACCAGAGGTTACAGGCACAGCCGTGCCCCTGCCCATGCCCATGCCTATGCCTATGCCCATGCCCATGCCCATGCCCATGCCTATGCCCATGCCCATGCCCATGCCCATGCCCATGCCCATGCTCATGCTCATGCCCATGCCCATGCCCATGCCCATGCCCATGCCCATGCCCATGCCCATGCACATGCCCATGCCCATGCCCATGCCCATGCACATGCCCATGCCCGTGCCCACATGCATGCCCATGAGCATGCCATTTCCACCTGCCAATCCAACTCCATCGAGTCTCATTGCCCAACCTCACCCATTGCCCAACCTCACCCATTGCCCAACCTCACCCATTGCCCAACCTCACCCATTGCCCAACCTCACCCATTGCCCAGCCTCACCCATTGCCCAGCCTCACCCATTGCCCAACCTCACCCATTGCCCAACCTCACCCATTGCCCAGCCTCACCCATTGCCCAGCCTCACCCATTGCCCAACCTCACCCATTGCCAAACCTCACCCATTGCCCAACCTCACCCATTGCCCAACCTCACCCATTGCCCAGCCTCACCCATTGCCCAGCCTCACCCATTGCCCAACCTCACCCATTGCCCAATCTCACCCATTGCCCAACCTCACCCATTGCCCAACCTCGCCCATTTCCCAACCTCGCCCATTTCCCAACCTCGCCCATTTCCCATCCACAATTCAAAACTTGTCTCACCTCCCCTGCAACGGCTCTGTTGCCGATGGTGGTGTGATCTGCCACATACGCATTCTTGAGTGCACCCATGCTGTGCTTGGTGCCGCCATCATCTGTAGGGATGGGACGACCGTGATTCGAAGGGAGGCGGAGTGAAGGCAAGGAGTTTGAAGAAGAAGTTGCAAGGGGGGTTGTTAAGGGGTTTTCAAGAAGGTTTGAAGAAGGATTCAAAGAGGTTTGCAGGAGGTTCAAAGGCAGTTGCATACGTTTGAAGGTTTGACAAACGCTGAACTCATCACATCAAACGCCACCTGAACCACCCGAATAGACTCATATATGCAAGAACGAGTCGTGAAGTGAAACAGTGTACTACTGTGAAGCCCAGGTGAGTAGTAACTTGAGTCGAGCAAAATCTAATATGTGAGGGTGTGGGCACATGAGGGAAGAGGCCGAATATGTATATATAGAAGGGTGAGGCGTGTACATAACAACAAGATATAAAAAATATGTTTTTCTTTGAGTGAGCAGCTGATTCCACTTCCTTCCTACAACTCACCGTCACACTTACTGCATCTCCACTGCCCTAGTAGCTCGCCGATGCCCGCCTTCTGTCACAGTGACAAGAGTGTTCTGCGCTAGCAGCAGCAGGAAGGTTTCAAGCAGGACAAAAAAGGTTACAAGGAAGACACTAAAACGTTTAGTGGAGGTAAAATCCATCGCACCAAGCCAAACACCACCATCTCCACTTCCGACATTCTTTAGCCGAATCGACTCACGCATGAAAACACGTAGTTGTGCAGTGAAAGAATGTCTGAGTCTACGTGCAAGAACATGAGCGGGCGGATTTTGCCTTACGAAGGGAAACGAACGCAAGGGAAGAAATCATGTGTGCATGTACCATTTCGAGAGTGAGTGAGGCATGCACATGGCAAGGAGAGATGAAAATACTGTTCTGCTCCAAGTCAACTCGGGAGCAGCTGGTTGCAGTGACTTCTTCCTCGTCAGCCGGTGCGTCACGTTTCACTCACTGCTATACTGTTGCGGTCTGACCTAGACACGAGCACAGGATGAAGTGAATCGCTTCGAGCAGCAGGCAACCCCCCCACACCCCCCACCCCTCCTCACATTTACACCGGTGCTCTGCCCTAGCCGGAAGCGATCCTTCCCATCCCCCCCTCCTCTCCATCCCCCTCCCATCCCCTTCCCCCTCCCATCCCCTTCCCCCTCTCTCCTCCCCCCCCCTTCTCCCGTCCCCCTTCTCTCACCGTGGCACGAAGAATGACCCGGTAACGAGTTTCACAGCGCCTTATGTGGACGAGAGGAAGGCGACCTGTAAAGGGGACGCTCCTAACGCGGACAGAAGGCTCAGAGGCAGCACACCAGGGTATTCAGGGAGGGAAAGGAGCAGGGGGAAGGGGCGCAGGTTGAGAGGCAAGGGGGCGGAGCAAGGAGGAGGGTCAGAGGAAGAAGAAAGGTAGGTGGGGGGAAGGGGGAAGGTGCAGGGGGGAGGGGAGCATGTTGAGGGGCAGGGCGGCGGGGCAAAGGGAAAGGGACAAGGGGAAGGGGCAAGGGGAGGGGGCAAGGGGAGGGCAGGGGGGGGGGCAGGGGGAAGGGGAAAAGAGAAGGGGCATGTGGGAAGGGCAAAAGGGAGGGGCAAAGGGAAGGGGCATAGGGGAGGGGCAGAGGAGAGGGCGGAGGGCAGGGGCAGAAAGAGAAGATGGTGGATCGCTGAGCAGCAACAATACAATCCTTGATCTGCTATATAATCTAATTTAATTTGCCATATCATCCCATGTACCTAGCTCCTTAATTAGTGACATACCCATCATACCTAGCTGTGCTGTGCATAGGTCCGAAAACACGGCAACCAATATCTCGATGCCACACCCTCCCTTATCCGCACACTACTCCCCCCCTCCCCCCCTCCCTCTTCCCCCCTTACAATCTCCAGTCCGGGCCCCTACTCGATATTGCTCGTTCCGTTATATGCTCCTACTTTCAAAGGGACGTCCGTCTCTCTGATCGTCATTCCACTGCTGCGAACCCCTCCGTACTGCCTCGTCGCCAACTCCTCCTCCTCCGCCAGTCTTCCCCGCGGAATTCTCCGCCGCCCCGCCACCCGCCATCTCCGCCAAAAGCGGATCCCCCTCCCCATCCGCTTCCGCTCCCCCCATCCGCGGCATTCGCGCTCCCTGCTGGAATCACACTGGCGCCATCCGCTGCGTCATCTACTCTACGACGGCTTTCCCGCTACAGGCTGATCGGATAGACGAACAGGGCCGCGGCTGGCTGGGATCAAGCACACGACGAATCTGGCGGTACCTTCAAACTTATAATCGCCGTTGCTAGACTCTTTGTATGGACGCCTACAATCGGAATTTATGTGTTCCGCTGCTGACGACCTACGTGATACGGTAGGTTCCATCTCGTAGAAGTTGCATGACTTCTAGACGAGGCTTGAAATTGTAGGCAAGTGAAACGGAAATGGACAGCTCGAGTGCGGAAAAACAGCGCATCTAGAAGTCAAGAGCACTCGAGCTTTCCGTAGTTACGGTAGGTTTCGAGCTTGATTTTAGTTCAGGCTTGAAACGCAACGTGACCTAAGAATGTCCAGCTACTGCGCCCGGTACCGTACACCAGCAACATAAATAGTCATTGGTGCTTTTCCTGTATATTCATTATTCAGAGTGCAATCTTTCAGCTTGAGGACTCTGAACACAAACTGTAATGAAATTACACAAGTCACAGAGAATAAGCTCACAAGAACAATCAAGGGTAGGAAGACTGGCAAGTCAGCTAATGTCCCTTCAAGCCAGGGTCTCACATCTTACTTGAGATGAGACCCTGGCTTTAAGGCCTTGCCAGCATTCCTGCCCCTGATGCGTTGACCTATTTTACCAAACCATAGCACCACCTGTCTGAGAATATCCCTCGTGTCATTACGAATCGAGACTGCAGCGGCCGCTGTGCAACACCCTGCATCTGCTTGTTCACCATGGAACTGCCAACACTCAGGCACTGAAGCGAGTTGCCGGCTTTAAACAGCAGCGGCGGGCATCTTGGCGCCCATGAAGCATCAAGCAGCAGTGGCAGGGCAGGGGGGGGGGGGGGGGGGGGCTTTAAACAGCAGCGGCGGGCGTCTGGGCGCCCATGAGCTGCCCGCCCCACGTCACACCTGCTGCGCTGCTGCCCGCCAGCACAGCATACCCGCTCACTGCAGGCGCCTGCTGCGCTCCCCCCTGCTGCTGCGCTCCCCCCTGCTGCTGGCCCCCCTGCTTCTGTCCCCCCTGCTTCTGCCCCCCCTGCCTAGCAGCGCGGCCGAATGCGCCCATCAGCAGCTCCCGCCCCATTCGTCTCCCGCCCTGCCCGTTCCGCGCGACCCCCCCGCTGCTTCCCGAGCTGCCTCCGCCGGCGCTGCCTCCGCCGTTGCGCCCGCCGCTGCCGCTGGTGGGCGGAGGCGAGGCGGTGGGGAGCACGGCGAGCAGCGCGTCGAGGGTGGCGGCGTCCGCGTTCTCGAGGAACGCGTCGAGGCGCGCCTCCGCGTGCAGCAGCCACCACCCCGCGCGCTACTGCCAGTCCGCCGCGGCGAGCGGCAGCACGAGCACGTCCGTTGCGGCGGCGTCGCACACGACGCCCTTCACGATCGCCAGCGAGTCGGGCGGACCGCCCGCCGCGTCCACCAGCACCGCCTCGACGAGCAGATTGTAGTTTCCGGTGGAGTTTTTGAAGACGGCGAGGTGGAAGCTGCCGTTAAGGGTCTTCTGATCCACGGTGCAGTTGGCGAGTTGCGCACCAACATCGGCCGTCAGATTCCCGACGGCCGTCAGGTTCAGCGGAGGGCCGCGCGGTCCGCCAGGCCCGCCAGGCCCGCCGGGGCCGTCGCGACCACCTGGACCGCCGGGAACGCCAGGGCCGCCGGGACCGCCGGGTCCGCCGGAACCGGCGCCAGGACCTCCGCGCTGCCCGCCGGGAGGACCTCCGCCAGGCGGACCACGCTGCGCCAAGGCGGACGTCGACACGAGGAGGAGCACGCACGCGAGGACGAGCGCTCTGACTGCCGCCATGGCTACTACTTCAGTGCTGCGATTGACGAAGCGGAAAGAGTTGCTTCCCGCGGCTGAACTAGCTGCGACTGACGAGATGTTTTGGAAGCTGGAGGTTGGGTGAGAGGAGTCGAGTTTGCAGTGGAAGCTGTTGGTGGGTGAATGAAATGAGAGGAGAGACAATCGCTATTTACAGGCGAGGGGAAGTTAGGACGCGGTGAAAGTAGAGGATCGATCGTCTGAGGCAATCGATGTGCGGATTAGTTACCCTATATACCCGTAAGTAACCATGCTACAGTGTCAAATATGACATTTTTTTGTTTATTTCTCCAGAAGGCAACTGATTGTCAAATCGTGACGATCAATCGCGGCAGTGAAGCTGCGCAAATGAGCACGAGCTCTGCGTGCCAGGGACGATCAATCCACTTGCTTGCGAAGGCACGAAATATTTTCACGAGGAACTTTTGCCGTTTTGGCACAGAAACTTTAATTCGTCAGGCTGGTTGCCTTGTGGATCGCGACTATCGCAACAGTGCTTGTACGAAATACAAATAATCATGGGCGCCAACATGCGCCAGTGCGATTCCGCGACTGTAACATATATTTAGTTGACCGTTAAATCAGCGATCACGCATCGTTTCGCCGATCGACTCCCCAGAGCGATTGTGCGATTCGATATTTAGATGCGATCCTAAAATTTTCTCACTTTTACCGCGTCCTTAGGTGGAACAGAGGAGACGCGAGTCAAAGCTCTCACAACTGGTTCAAGGTTTGGATTTTTGTTTGGGAGCACCAAAGGTGTGGGTTCGCTTCAGAGGTCCGGAACAAACCAGAGACTGGTGCACACAAGGTGCCGACAAAGTTGAAAATCAGCGACAATATTCAACGCCTCAGTCAGCGCGAAAAGAGTCGGGTATTGGCTGGCTCGCTGTAGTAGCAGCACTTTTTACCATTACATGATTTAGAAAATGAATCAAAGCATGAGACTGTTGTATAATGTTCCTTGTTGAATAGCCTTAGAGGAGTTATACCCCCTCTGGCGCTTCCAGTAACATGTGTTAGCCGATTTGCAGAAGTTGTCATTTTTCTGCGTTATAATATTCAATTACGGTAGAAAGTTTCAAGCAGCAGTAATAGATTCAGCAAGACGAGAGCCGAAAGCTCATGAGCGACTTTTTCTTGTGCTCGCATTGCCCGTCTGCTTTTGTTGACTGGCCGTGTGGCATATGCAGGGGGCTCAAGATATTTTGATCCTCATGAGAATCATGAACCGCTGTGAGTTTGTGCGCCTGCAATCCTACAGTGGTGAAATGGATACACTGTGAGGGGAGAGGGGAAGGAGGGCAACTGTGAGGGGGAGAGGTGATGGTGCAGTAGCATCTACAGACATGCAACATAGAGCATTGAAGTGTCTGAATGGTTGCCTGTGAAATCCACTTACTCACTCGCATAGCAATGACTGTGTGTCTGTGCCCATGCCCATGCCCATGCCCATGCCCATGCCCACGCCCAGGCCCATGCCCATGCCCACGCCCACGCCCATGCCCATGCCCATGCCCATGCCCATGCCCATGCCCATGCCCATGCCCATGCCTATGCCCATACCCGCCCATTGCCCATGCCTGCCCATTGCCCATGCCCTAGCCTCCCACTTGTTGAACCAGCATTCACATTGCCGAACCTCTCCCACATCCCAGTAAAGCCCAATTCCACCCATTGCCCAATCCCACCCATTTGCCTTTCCTCACCTATTGCCAAAACTCACCAATTGCCAAACCTCACCCATTGTCAAACCTCACCCATCAAACCTCACCCATTGCCAAACCTCACCCGTTGCCAAACCTCACCCGTTGCCAAACCTCACCCATTGCCCAGTTCACAGTTGAAGACATTTCAACACTTTCCTCACCTGTCCTGCTTCACGGCTGTGTTGGCGGGCACGGTGGGATCGTACCTACCTCATACGCCTTCATCACTACTCCATGACAGGGTGCCTAGCTGTGCCAGCCGCCTCACTGACTCTCACCCCTGCAAACAGGCGCCCCACCTGCCCACCTCCAAGCCCCACCTGCCCACCTCCAAGCCCCACCTGCCCACCTCCAACAACGACCGTGTGCTTAATGACAAATATGTGCCCAGAGCCCCCTAACTTATGCATGTGTGAAGCTTGGTAATTGACTCGTGTGCGAATTTTGGGGATATTGTGATGTTTCTGGAGATTTTGGTAAACATGTCATGTTGTTCGTCTTAACCCCTGCTTTGCTTTACTACCGCTGGTCTTTTTCCCCCCTGCCCACTGAAAAAATCTGCCCTGCCCGGACGAGCGTCAAGTGAGTGTCCACCACAGTCGCACCCGAGCGTCTAGCGTCCGGACGCTAGCGTCATGGACACTGGACGCGTCAGGTGCAACATAGGGTGGTTGTGGTGTGACCAGCCACATACGCGTTGACTGCATTCATGCTGTGCTTGGTGATGCCCAGTAGCACACGGAGAAGGAGGAGATGGAGAGATGAGGAGAGGAGGAGATGAGGAGATGGGAAAATGAGGAGATGTGGAGATGATGAGAGGAGAAGATGATGAGAGGAGAAGATGATGAGAGGAGGAGATGATGAGAGGAGAAGATGATGAGAGGAGAAGATGATGAGAGGAGGAGATGATGAGAGGAGGAGATGATGAGAGGAGGAGATGATGAGAGGAGAAGATGATGAGAGGAGGAGATGATGAGAGGAGGAGATGATGAGAGGAGGAGATGATGAGAGGAGAAGATGATGAGAGGAGAAGATGATGAGAGGAGGAGATGATGAGAGGAGATGATGAGAGGAGAAGATGATGAGAGGAGGAGATGATGAGAGGAGGAGATGATGAGAGGAGGAGATGATGAGAGGAGGAGATGATGAGAGGAGGAGATGATGAGAGGAGGAGATGATGAGAGGAGGAGATGATGAGAGGAGGAGATGATGAGAGGAGGAGATGATGAGAGGAGGAGATGATGAGAGGAGGAGATGATGAGAGGAGGAGATGATGAGAGGAGGAGATGATGAGAGGAGGAGATGATGAGAGGAGGAGATGATGAGAGGAGGAGATGATGAGAGGAGGAGATGATGAGAGGAGGAGATGATGAGAGGAGGAGATGATGAGAGGAGGAGATGATGAGAGGAGGAGATGATGAGAGGAGGAGATGATGAGAGGAGGAGATGATGAGAGGAGGAGATGATGAGAGGAGGAGATGATGAGAGGAGGAGATGATGAGAGGAGGAGATGATGAGAGGAGGAGATGATGAGAGGAGGAGATGATGAGAGGAGGAGATGATGAGAGGAGGAGATGATGAGAGGAGAGATGATGAGAGGAGGAGATGATGAGAGGAGGAGATGATGAGAGGAGGAGATGATGAGAGGAGGAGATGATGAGAGGAGGAGATGATGAGAGGAGGAGATGATGAGAGGAGGAGATGATGAGAGGAGGAGATGATGAGAGGAGGAGATGATGAGAGGAGGAGATGATGAGAGGAGGAGATGATGAGAGGAGGAGATGATGAGAGGAGGAGATGATGAGAGGAGGAGATGCCCCTACCCAGTGGTTTTTGGCACGGCTGTGCCTCTGCCCGTGCCCATGGCCCTACCCATGCCCATGCATGCGTATGCCCATGCCTGTGCCCGTGCCCATGCCTGCCCATGCCCATCCGAAGTGAAACGATGTCAGAATCGACATGCAAGAACACAAGTAGGGCAGATTCCTAGATACGAGCACAGGGGGAACCGAGTCACTTAGAGCAGCAGGCAACTCCCCCACACCCCCCACCCCTCCTCACATTCACGCCGGTGCTCTGCCCTAGCCATGAGTAATCCTCCCCCTCCCCCTCTCCTCCCCCTCCCCCTCCCCTCGCCTTCCCCCCCTCTCTCCCCCCTCCCCCGGGTCTCTCTTCTCTCACCGTGACATGAAGAATGGCCCGGTAACGAGTTGCACAGCGCCGTATGTGCACGATAGGAAGCCAACCTGTAAAGGGGACGCTCCTAACGCGGACAGAGGGTTCAGAGGCAGTGCCGAGGGGGAGGAACAGATCGCAGGGGTGCAGGTTGAGGGGCAGGGGGACGGAGCAAGGGGGAAGGGTCACGGGAAGAAACAAGATGGGGGCAAGAGGAAGGAGCAAGAAGGGGGGGGGGAGGGAGGGGGGGGAGGGGGCGTGTTGAGGGACAGGGAGGCGGGGCAAGGGGGAAGGGGCAAAGGTGGGGCAAAAGGGGAACAGGGGGAAGAGGAAAGGAGAAGGGGCATGTGGGAGAAACAAGGAGGGGGGAAAGTGGGGAGGGGCAGGCGGGAGTTGGCAAAACGAAGGGGCAGAGAGAGGAATTGGGGATCGTTAAGCTGCAGCAGCAATACGCTTCAACCCTTGTTATGACACTATATGCCATATTCTGTGTACCTACCTCCTAGATTAGTGGCCATACCCATGCCTAGCTGCAAACAGGTTTTTGAAAGACGATAACCAATATCACCATGCCACGTGGCACGGCCTTCTCTGCGCCTACTGCTGGCAGAATCCCCTCCCTTATCCACACAATGCTCTTCCCCCCGTTACAATCTCCAGTCCGCCCCCGTACTCAATATTGCTCGTTCCGTTATAAGCTCCTATTTCCAAAGGGACGTCCGTCTCTCTGCTCGTCATTCCACTGCTGCGAACCCGCAGTGCTGCCTCGCCGCTGTTAAACACGTCCCCTCCCCAACTCCTCAGCCAGATCTTCCAGCGAAACTCTCCACCGCCCGCCATCTCTCCGCCTTAGTAAATCCCTCTCCCCATTCGCTTCCGCTTCCGCTTCCCCATCGCGCTCCCCACTTGAATCACACTCGCGTCACCTGCTGTAGACTCTACCGCGATATCCCCGCTATAAATTTATATAATAAACGAACACGACTTGGCGGCTGGATCAAGCACCCGAATATGGCGGTACCTTCTAACTTATGCTTGCCATTGCTGGAATCGTTGTAAGGAGACCTAATCACGCTTACTATCGAAATGTAAGCTCCTGCCGAAAGAGGCTTGCCGCTGACGACCTAAGCACTAAGTCCTATCTCGGAAATGCCTAAAGAGGCCTGAAGCTGTTGGCATGTGAGGTGGAAACGGAAAGCTCGGGTGCGGGGAAACGGCGCATCTCTCGAAGCACCCGAGCTCTCGGAAGTTGGGTTCAACTTTAGTTTCAGGCTAGAAACGCGACGCGAACTACCAGTAAGAGAGTCCAGCCGCCACGCCCAGTACCGTACACCAGCAACACATCCCATTCCAATTTGCTTATAAATAGTCATCAGTGGCTTTCCTGTTACCGTATTCGTTCTTCAGATGCAATCCTTCAGCTTGAGAACTCAAAACACAAATACTGTACTGAAATTACACAAGTCACAAATAGACTCCAATCACAGAGAATAAGCTCACAATAACAACCAAGGGTAGGAAGACTGGCAAGTCAACTGGTGACACATGATGCCTTGCCAGCATTCCTGCCCCTGATGCTTTGACCTACTTTAGCTACTAGCAGGAAACAGAGCAAAACTAGAGCAAGCCTATCCAGGCACACACATCTTAGACGCCCCCAGGGCTCCAGCCCATCACAACCACGCCTACAGCGTGCAACAGGCTGGGTTCCAATGCTCAAAGGCGGCAGTAGCAGCACCGGCAATGACTGTCAACCCATTTTCCTGATCCAGCAGCAGCAGCAGCAGCAGCAGCAGCAGCAGCAGCAGCATCAAGCAGCAGCGGCGGGCATCTTGGCGCCCATGAAGCATCAAGCAGCAGTGGCAGGGCAGGGGGGAGGGCTTTAAACAGCAGCGGCGGGCATCTTGGCGCCCATGAGCTGCCCGCCCCACGTCACACCTGCTGCGCTGCTGCCCGCCAGCACAGCATACCCGCTCACTGCAGGCGCCCCTGCTGCTGCTGCCCCCTGCTGCGCTCCCCCCTGCTGCTGCCCCCCCTGCTTCTGTCCCCCCTGCTTCTGACCCCCCGGCCTGGCAGCGCGGCCGAATGCGCGCATCAGCAGCTCCCGCCCCATGCGCCTCCCACCCTGCCTGTTCCGCGCGCCTCCACCGCTGCTACCCCCGCCGTTGCGCCCGCCGCTGCCGCTGGTGGGCGGAGGCGAGGCGGTGGGGAGCACGGCGAGCAGCGCGTCGAGGGTGGCGGCGTCCGCGTTCTCGAGGAACGCGTCGAGGCGCGCCTCCGCGTGCAGCAGCCACCACCCCGCGCGCTGCTGCCAGTCCGCCGCGGCGAGCGGCAGCGCGAGCACGTCCGTCGCGGCGGCGTCGCACACGGCGCCCTTCACGATCGCCAGCGAGTCGGGCGGACCGCCCGCCGCGTCCACCAGCATCGCCTCGACGAGAAGATTGTAATTTCCAGTCGCGTTCCTGGAGCAGAGGAAGGGAAGGAGAAGGGGGGGAGGAAGAGGGGAAAGCAGCGCGATGAGATCCCGCAAAGAGGAAGAAACACTGAATGGATTAGGGTTTTCGCGCAGAGAGGAAGGCAGCGGAACCTACTTGAAGACGGCGAGGTGGAAGCTGCCGTTAAGGGTCTTCTGATCCACGGTGCAGTTGGCGAGCTGCGCGCCAACATCGGCCGTCAGATTCCCGACGGCCGTCAGGTTCAGCGGAGGACCGCGCGGTCCGCCAGGCCCGCCGGGACCGTCACGACCGCCAGGACCGCCGGGACCGCCGGGACCGCCGGGTCCGCCAGAACCGGCGCCAGGGCCTCCGCGCTGACCGCCGGGAGGACCTCCGCCAGGCGGACCACGCTGCGCCAAGGCGGACGTCGACACGAGGAGGAGCACGCACGCGAGGACGAGCGCTCTGACTGCGGCCATTGCTGGATCTGTATCGAGCTGCGATTTACGAAGTGGGGAAAGTTATCTTGCACTGACTTGGAAGCTTGAGTGAAGAAAGTGGAGCGTGAAGTGGAAGCTGTTGGTGAGTGAAATGGTAGGAGAGTCAATGGCTACTTATAGGGTAGTCAAAACCAGGAGTAGACCGAGTCAAAGCCGCTGAGGTCTGAGGTTGAGCCTTGTGTCGCCAAGCAATGTGTGAGGTTCGGAAATATCCAGACCAACTGTGGAGGTTCGAGGTGTACAAAATCACCAACCGAGAGTTGAAAATGTGCGACAGGATTCAAACTCGTGAGTCAGCGCAAATGGAAGGAAAATCGCACATGAAAAAACGCGTCAGTCAGCGCGAAAGGGCAGCTGGAACAACCTACCTGCACATTGGCAGGTGCAGGGACGGGGGGTGGCACAGGGATCATATGGTTTCAACCTTCTTGCTGTGGATGCCCTGGTGGGAGCTCACGCTCCTGCTATCCTATGGTAGTGGAATGGGAGCATAGTGGGGGGCATGGGGAAAATGCAGAAAGGGGAAAGTGAATTGGCAAAGGAGGGGAATGGCGAGGGTTAGGGCCAATGGTGAAGTGACACGTAGAAGCATGTATCGCATAGTAGACTAGTGGCTGAATGAAAGCCATATGAGTCCACTCAGTCACCCGCACAGCAGTGGCTCTGTGTATGCCTTCGGAATCGACTCTGCACTCTTAAATACCATGACCCTGCCCATGCCCCCATTCCCATGCCCATGTCCCATCCCATGCCCATTTCCATGCGCGTTTCCATGCCCATTCCAATGCCCATGCCCAATCCCATGCCCATGCCCGCGCCCATGCCCATTCACATGCCCACTCCCATGCCTCCCATGCCAGCACCCATGCCCATCCCCATGCCCATTCCCATGCCCATCCCCATCCCCATCCCCATTCCCATGCCCATCCCCATGCCCATCCCCACGCCCATTCCCATGCCCATTCCCATGCCCATCCCCACGCCCATTCCCATGCCCATCCCCACGCCCATTCCCATGCCCATCCCCACGCCCATTCCCATGCCCATCCCCATCCCCATCCCCATCCCCATGCCCATCCCCATGCCCATCCCCACGCCCATTCCCATGCCCATCCCCACGCCCATTCCCATGCCCATCCCCACGCCCATTCCCATGCCCATCCCCACGCCCATTCCCATGCCCATCCCCATCCCCATCCCCATCCCCATGTCCATCCCCATGCCCATCCCCACGCCCATTCCCATGCCCATCCCCACGCCCATTCCCATGCCCATCCCCACGCCCATTCCCATGCCCATCCCCACGCCCATTCCCATGCCCATCCCCACGCCCATTCCCATGCCCATCCCCATGCCCATGTCCATGCCACTGCCAAGGCTCTAGCCCTTGACCAAGCCCATGCCCACGCTCATGCGCATGCCAATGCCAGTTGAGAATGGGGGGGGGAGTGGTGGGAAGAGTGGGGGGAGGGATGGGGGAATCACACGGCTCATATGGGTTTTATCCTCATACTGTGGGTGGCCTGATGAGAGCTCATGCTGCAGCGCAGCTATCCTCATGCCGGTGACCGGAGGGAGGGGGGAGGCACACGGCTCATGGTCCATTTGAGTCCACTGAATCACTTGCATAGTAGTGGCTCCGCCTTGAAGTACCAGTGGGTATATGCACGGCCATGCCCATGCCCATGCCCATTCCCATTCCCATTCCCATTCCCATTCCCATTCCCATGCCCATGCCCATGCCCATGCCCATTTCCATGCCCATTCACAAACCCATTCCCATCCCCACGCCCATTCCCGTGCCCATACCCATTCCCACGCCCATTCCCATTCCCCATGCCCATGCCCATGCCCATGTCCAAGCCACTTCCCTTGCTCTAATCCCCTGCGCATGCCTGTGCGCACGCCCATGCGGATGCCAATGTCGATGCCCATGCACTTGCCCATGCAAATACCTTTGTCCATGCCCATGCCCATGCCCATGCCATGCCCCACCCTCCCACATGCCAATCCAACCCCATCGAGTCAGCAACACCCCAACCTCACCCATTTCCCAACCTCGCCCATTTCCCAACCTCGCCCATTTCCCAACCTCGCCCATTTCCCAACCTCGCCCATCTCCCAACCTCAACCATTGCCCAACCTCACCCATTTCCCAACCTCGCCCATTTCCCAACCTCGCCCATTTCCCAACCTCACCCATTTCCCAACCTCGCCCATTTCCCAACCTTACCCATTTCCCAACCTCGCCCATTTCCCAACCTCGCCTATTTCCCACCCTCGCCCATTTCCCACCCTCGCCCATTTCCCAACCTCGCCCATCTCCTAACCTCAACCATTGCCCAACGTCACCCATTGCCCATCCACACCCACTGCCTAGCTCGTGTTTGAGAAAATCTCAAGATCTCACCTGCCCAGTCCCACGGTACTTTTGGTGAGCATGATGTGATTAACCACATACACCTCAAAGGAGGTTTGATTGAATGAGGATTTAAAGAGGTATGCAGAAGGTTCAAAAGCAGTTTCAAGAAGGTTTAGAGAAGGTTAAAGGTTTGAAGAAGTATAATTCGTCACATAAAAAAACCATATAAACTACCCAAATTGACTCACACATGCAAAAAAGAGTCGTGAGTGAAGTGAGACAATGAGCTCATGTGAAAACTAGTTGAGCAGAAACTTGAGGCAAGCAAAACAGGATATGTGAGGGAGTGGGTACATGAGAAAAGAGGCCATGTGAGTATATACTGAGAGAGAGAGGCATGCATGAAATAATGGGAGTTGGAAATCCGTTATGCTTTGAACTGAGCTCAGGAGCAACTGATTACACTTTCTTCCCAAGTCACTTGCTGCATAAATCTTCTCTCACTGTTTCACCGGTGTTCTGCGCTAGTAGCAAGCAGCTTGCCTCGCCCCTGCCATTCTCTCACCGTGACACAGATGCTCTGCCCAAGCCGCACAGATGCTGTGCCCAAGACACGAGCACAGGGTGAACTGAGTCCCTACAAGCAGCAGGCAACTCCCCCACACCCCCATCCCTCCTGACCTTCACATATGTGCTCTGCCGTACCACCTCTCCACCCCCTCCCCGATGCTAAGGTGGGGAAACGGGGAAATAATCCCCCCTTTTCCCCTCCCCCTCTCCACCCCCTCCCCGATGCTAAGGTGGGGAAACGGGGAAATAATCCCCCCTTTTCCCCTCCCCCTCTCCACCCCCTCCCCCATCCCCCCCTTCGCTTCTCCCTTCTCTCAGTGTGACACGTAGAATGGACCAGTGACGGTCCAGAACACCAGTGTTGCACAGCACCGTATGTGGACGATGGGAAGCCGTCCTGTGAAGGGGATAAAACGTTCAGAGGCAGCACACCAAGTACTGGTGGGCGGGTGCAGGGGGCAGGGGCGCAGGTTGAGGGGCAGGGGAGAGGAGAAAGGGGGAAGGGTAGAAGCAAGGTGGGAGGGGAAGGGGCAAAGGAAAAGGGGCAAGGGGATGGGGCAACGGAAAGGGGCAAAGGGGAGGTTGAAAGGGGGCTGTGAAAGGAAGATGGAAGGGGAAGGAGCAAAGGGGAAGGCAATGGGAAAGTTGAAAGGGGAGGGGTAAAAGGAAAGAGCAAAGGGAAGGGACACGGCAACTTTATAATTTGCCATATTCTGCCTACCTAGCTCCTTGATTTGTGGCATACCCATTCCTAGCTCAAGGGGAGCAGGGGAAGGGAAATGGTGGAGGAGTAGGAAGAAAGGGTGGGGTGGAGGGGAGAGGAAAGGGACAAGGTGGGGACACGGGGGGAGGGGAAAGAGGAAGCGAAACGAGGAAATGACAGGAAAAAGCGGGAGGGGGGAGAAGGTGCAGAGGGTAAGGGCAGAGAGGGGGAACGGGGAGGGGCAGAAAAGGGGGAAGGGGCAGGGGGCAAGGCGGGCCAGAGGGGCAGTAGATGCTAAAAAAGAGCAAAAGTTGGATCGTAGGCTTGGCAGTAACGACAAACGCCACGTGGCACGCCCTTATCTGCACCTGCATCTGCACCTGCGCTCAATGCTTCTTCCCCCTGTTACAGTCTCCTGCCGTAGTCGCTATTGCCCGTCCCGTTATAAGTTCCTTATTTTAAAAGGCCGTCCGTCTCTCTGCTCAACATTCTCCTGCTGCGCATCTGCGATAGTGCTTCGTCGCCGCTACCTACGTCCCCTCCCCAAGTCCTCCGCCAGTCCTTCTCCAGGAACTCTCCGCCGCCCGCCACCTCTCCGCCAATAGCGTATCCCCCTCCCCTTTCGCTTCCTCTTCCGCTTCCTCATCGCGCTCGCCGCTTGAATCACTCTGACTTCATCCGCAGAAGACTCTACAACGATTTCCCCGCTATAAACAGATCGAATAAACGTACAGGACATGGCGGGCTGGGTCAAGCCCACGAATTTGGCGACACCTTCTTGTCAAACATATAGTTATATGTTATAGTTTGGGTAGGCTTGGTGGGGTACTCACTGTGGGGTACAACCCCTTAGGTTTCACTTTTGTACCAAAACTCCTCGATAGTTGAATCATCCCTTGACTTAGTCTTGATATGGTATCTAGAGCAGGAGGTCTCTAGGACCTAAGAATCGGGCCCACCTAACTGTGTTACCACCTGCCTGCCTTGCCTACTGCCCGCGCGCGCCTCGGCTGCAGCGCGCGTCACCTTTTTTTTCCGCGCGCGCCTCGGTTTCTAGCGCGCGCGTCACTGTTTTTAGCGCGCGCCACTGCTGCAGCGCCGCGCGCCGGCCCGCGTCGCCCGCGCAGCCCGCGTAGAGCCCGCGCGCCCCTTACGCCGCCCGCGCGCAGCCTGCTTAGGCCACGCCCGCGCAGCCCGTCGCCACGCGCAGCCAGGAGCCGCGCGCAGCCTGTCGCCACGTGCAGCCAGGAGCCGCGCGCAGCACGTAGCCACGCACAGCAGAGAGCCGCGCGCAGCCCTCAGCCGCACGCAGCCAGCAGCCGCGCGTGCCCTACTCGTGTACCTGCCTGTGAGGCTCACTGCTGCCGAGCCCACTGCCTTAGAACTAAGCGGCCTGCTACTGTCTAGAGCCCCACCTTAGGAGCTCGAGTGCAACAAGCTACTGCCCTGCACGTTGCCTGTACTGCCTGCTGCCTACTGCCTCTGTCTTAGCCTGCGGTCTACTGCCTGCTGCCTCCTGTCTACTGCCTGCCTGCTTTCTGCTGCCTTTGCCTGCTGCCATTATGACGACGCCTAACGTTCTTGCGTTCGAACCTGACGGTCGCCCCATAGAGTTCGTTGTGTGGTTAGATGATCTCCAACTGTTCCTTCTGACCGATGCCAAAGAGGGCGTTTCACTGTTCGATTACGTGTCTGGCACTGCCGTTGCTCCTGCTGCCGATGCTCCTGCTCTCGAACGCTCACAGTGGCAGACTCGCGATGCTGCTGCACGCCTAGCTATTAGGAACCATCTGCCGATTACTGAGCGCGCGCATTTCAGCCAGCACAAAACTGCTAAGACGATGTACGACGCTGTAGTTGCGCGCTACTCCTCCCCGGCCACTGCAGCCATAGGTCGGCTCATGCTACCCTACCTGTTCCCCGACCTTTCCTCGTTCACCACTGCTGAGGACCTCATTTCCCACCTGCGCGCTACTGACACTCGCTTTCGTGCCGCCCTTTCCGCCGAGTTCTGCGACGCAAACCCCCCCCGATATACTTCACTCTCTATTTCCTCGTCACCCGCCTCCCTGACACTCTTAGCTCCGTCAGGGACCACTTCCTAGCGCTAGACCCCCCCACTCTCACTGTCGACGACTTCGAGAAGCACCTCCTTGCAGCAGAGAAGAACATCCTCGCTGTAGGTGCTGCTCGTGGCACTCCTCGCTCTCCCCTCTTTGAGGGGTGCTCCCCCTCCCCTCTCACCCCCTCCTACGCCTCCGCAGCTGCTGCTCCCGACTACCTTGGTGCTGAGGAGGTCGGGGCTGCTTCCGCTCCTAGTGGGAAGCGTCGCAGCGGCAGGGGCGGCAAGGGTGGCAGGGGAGGTGGGGGTGGCGGTGGAGGTGGCGGTGGAGGTGGCGGCGGGGGAGGTGGAGGTGGTGGAGGCAGTCGTGGGGGTGGAGGTGGTGGAGGTGGTGGTGGGGGCAGCGGAGGCACTGGGAGCGGTGGAGGTGGCAGCAGTGGCGGTGGGGGAGGAGGGAGCGGTGGTTGCAGTGGTGGTCAGGGTCAGCAGCAGCCGCAGCAGCAGCAGCAGCAGCGTCAGCGCCAGACCCCCACTTCCCAGCAGCTTCTTGACTGGTATGCCGGGCGTGGGGCTTCTGGGGGTCCTGGTCGCTGCCCCTATATCATTCGCACAGGTCCCCGCGCTAGTCGCCAGTGCACAGGGTTTCACACTGAGCAGCGCTGCTTCGCTCGGCTTAGCGACGCCTGGCGCGCCAAGTTTCCTGATGCTACTGAGTTCCCCAACTGGGCAGACTTGCTTAGGCGTGATGTACCTATGTTTGATCTTGACTATGAGGCAATTCTTGCTGCTATGTATGCATTGACTGTTAGTGCTGAGGGTGACTGCTACTTGTGTGTGCCGCCGGATCCTGGTATAGCCCCTGCAGCACTAGGTGCTTGTGAGTCCGCTCCCCTTGGTACTGCGCCTGCACAGGCCTTGCACACCTTTACACTTGACTCTGGTGCTTCCCGCTGTTTCCTTCGCGACAGTACCTCAGTCACTCCCCTCCCTGCACCTGTTCCTGTCTCACTGGCTGACCCCTCTGGGGGCCCAGTGCTTGCACGGTCTTCCACTGTGCTTCCGTGTCCGGCGGTCCCGTCTGGTGAACTGTCTGGTCTCCACCTCCCCTCGTTCTCTACGAACTTGGTGAGCAACGCCGTCCTTCAGGATCACTGGGTTGACACCTTTACTCCTGGAGGACAGCGTGTGGCGATCTGCACGTGCTTCCGGACCGGCCGTCACCTAGCCACGTTCACACGTGCGCCTGGGTCCAGTCTGTACACCCTCACCACTGCGTCGCGCTACACCCCTTTGTCTCCCCAGCTGTACGCGTCTACTCAGGTAGCTACCCAGTGTGAGTGTCGCCGACTGTCTCACGACACTCTCCTGTGGCACCACCGCCTTGGTCACCCCTCCCTGCGTCGCCTTCGTAGCATGCACTCTCGCTACCTGGTCTCTGGCCTTCCTGAGTCTCTGCCTGCCCTCCCTCCCTTGCCTGTGCCGCCCTGCATTCCTTGCGTCGAGGGGCGGCAGCGCGCCGCTCGTCACTCCTCCTCGTTTCCTCGCACAGAGGCTCCCTTGCAGACTCCCCACATGGACGTGTGGGGCCCAGCCCGCATCCGTGGACAGGGCCACGAGCGGTACTTCCTGCTGGTCGTCGACGACTACACGCGTTACACCACGGTCTTCCCCTTGCGCAGCAAGGGGGAGGTCCCTGATGTTTTGATCCCCTGGATCCGCGCTGTTCATCTCCAGCTCCGCGAGCGGTTCTAGTCGGACTTTCCTGTCCTGCGTCTGCACTCTGACAGAGGTGGTGAGTTCTCCTCAGACCTCTTGGCAGCCTTCTGTGCGGAGCACGGCATCCGCCAGACGTTCACGCTTCCGGCCTCTCCGCAGCAGAATGGGGTTGCTGAGCACCGCATTGGCTTAGTCATGGAGGTCGCTCGTACCTCCATGATCCATGCGGCTGCCCCCCATTTTCTGTGGCCGTTTGCGGTCCGGTACGCCGCGCATCAGCTCAACCTCTGGCCCCGTGTCTCCTTGCCGGAGACCTCGCCCACACTGCTGTGGACGGGGAAGGTTGGCGATGCGTCGCGTTTCCGGGTCTGGGGTGCTCGTGCCTTTGTCCGCGATACCACCGCGGACAAGCTCTCCGCTCGCGCCATTCCCTGCGTCTTCCTTGGCTTTGTCCCTGACGCGCCTGGCTGGCAGTTCTACGACCCCGCCTCGCGTCGTGTCTTTCCGTCTCAGGACGTCACCTTTGACGAGTCCGTCCCCTTTTACCGTCTCTTTCCCTACCGCACTGCCCCTCGCCCCCCACCGCCGCTCTTTCTCGCCCCAGGTCCTCCCCAGGTAGACCCCCTCCCCGCGCCAGGTCCTGCTCCTTCAGGTGTTTCTCAGGTAGACCCTCCCGTGCCTGCGCCTGTTGAGGTCACTGGTGACTCAGGTCCTGCTGGGGGTGGTGCTGTCTTTGGGGGTGCTGGGCCTGGGGGTGCGGAGCTTGGGGGTGCTGAGCTTGGGGGTGCGGAGCTTAGGGGTGCTGAGCCTGGGGTTGCGGAGCCTGCGCGTGAGGACCAAGGAGGTACTGAGCCGGAGGGTGCGGAGTCTGGGGGCGCTGAGCCTGAGCGTGAGGAGCCTGGGGGTACTGAGTCTGGGGGTGCGACGCCTGAGGGTTCTGAGTCTGCTGCTACGCGGTCGCCTTGGGGTAGCCGCCTTCGTCCGCGTGTGCCTCTCACCTCACAGCAGCTGCACGACTGGTACGGTTGCCGTCAGGGTCGCGCTTCTGGAGCTCGGGGCTCTGCCGCTGGAGGTACTTCTGCTGACGTCTCTAGAGCTGGGAGTGGTGCTGGTCCCGTAGGTGCTCGTCCTGGAGGGGCTGGAGCTGCTGGGGCTGGAGGTGCTGCTGAGCCTGAGGGTGCTACGGCTGGAGACCCTGGGTCTGGGGGTGCTGCTGCTGGAGACACGGA